TCTTTCCTTTTATCTTCCCTTTCCCTTTCCCCTTTTTCCTTCTCTCTGTCTCCCTATCAACATAGTAATAACGAAAGAGAACACTCTGTAATCAAGACCATTCCATTTTATTTAATACATTTTCGATATACTTAAATTGGCAACTATTACCTTCTGTCCTAGATCCTCATTTTAAACGACTGATGCGAAAGACTAGTCGACGCACCCTTTCGAGAAAAGACCCCCCGCTTTTATCGAAAGGGTGTGTTAAAACGGTACTCCGCTCTCAACGCACCCTTTCGAGAAAAGCGGGGGGCCTTTTATCGAATGGGTGCGTTGAGCACACCACACCGCGCCGCGCCGCACCGCACCCTTTCGATGAAAGCCCTTATTTTGGGGGTGGACTTTCCCTTTAATACACGTCAGCTATTATGTTAACCCATTCGGCCAATTCTACACAATTTTGCACTGTTGTGCAGAACATCTTGTTCAGTGCAATCCCTACATGTACTACAGTATGGTCAATTGTCTAACAAGCTGACTTCATCTTCATGACATGAGCAACAGTGTGTTGTATTTCCAGCTCCCAATTATTTTCCTTCTTGGTATTTCCCATCTTTGTGCTCACAGAGATGACCAACTGTGCTGTCATCTGTTCATGACAAGGGAACCATAGGAATATTTTATTGGCTGACAAATGTAACATTGCCCAGAACACATGACCGCCTTGTATAGTCAGCACACATGATACACTCATCAGTTGTATCATGCTGACTTTCAGCTCTGTTAACATTCACAGATGCACTCTGTCAATCACTTTGATTAAATCAGTATTGTAAATCGACACAGAGATACATTTGCCAATCTTGCCGACTTACAACTCTGTTCACATTCAAAGATTTAATCTGTAATCACTTTGATAAATCAGTGTTGTAAATACACATAGAGAATGAGATACATAATTATGTACATTCTAAACCAGTCTTGCATGCATGTATAACAGTCTATTGCATGCCTAACATTTTGTAAAAGTAGCTTTATGTACATGTATGCCTATCAACATGTACATGTACATGTACATGTACATGTACATGTACTTGGAGAGAGTGTTTGTTTGTTTGCTTTAAACATTTTAATTAATTAATTATTCAAAAAAATCTTTTGGCTCTGACATTATCTTTGATCTATTTATAAATGTAGCTTAATTTGCAGTAGCTATGGTAACTCAAACTTGGCACAACTTTCATTATTTTTGTATTGAAAACTAAAACCAACATATGATTTGCCATCAGCTATGCTGTGTTGTTTCAAGTCATACCATCCCTGATTGCAAACCTCCAAAGAAAGAAACAAAAAAGCTACAACAAACACAAAGAAACCTGTAGAAAATTAGGTCAATTGATTTCAGTCAATCCAGTTTACAGTAGAACAATGTTGTATTTTTAGCCTTCTTGTTTCCCTGTAGGCCTACAATGCAAACTTGACAGGAGAGCCGTTTTAGCTGAGGTCTGTGTTTTGTTAACCTCTTTTTGAGGGGTCACTCAAGTTGAGGTCAACTTGTATTTTTGTTAGGCTCAAAATGTGTTCATATCATACAGTTCATATCATCATATTGCACATGACTTGTACATGTATGCATGTAGCACAAACTGTAGAAATATAAATTTTATTTTCATCAAAACACACCTACTGTACATACATGTACATGTACAATGTACATGTACATGTACACGTCATTCTTGTAGATGCCTATACCTCCCCCCCCCCCCTCCCCCACTCTCTCTCTCTCTCCCTCTCTCTATCTCTTTTACAGGAGACCTTATTACTTTGAGACTTTGAGTATGTACAGTACTAGTTGAAAATTAAAACAAACAAAAAGAGTATTGTTCACATTGTTAAACACATCAATATACAATGCAGGTTCAATGTCATGCCAATAATTTTTAAAGAATGTAAAACCTTGCCCTCATCCACAGACCATCATCAAAAATCAATATCTAATGAGAATGTTTGTAATGAAATTCATTTAGAGTTTCATGTCATGCATTCAAGGATGACAATATTGCCTTCACATACATGTACCGGTACACAATTGGGATCATGTTTACATTGCATCAATGATCAACCGTACAGTATCTTTGCTAAATCCACATTTTGTTTATGTACTTTACTTTCTTTCTTCTTGTGAGTCATTGAGTTGTGTACACTATCAAACATGATATAATGTATTAATTAGCATTTATTTTGATTTGTGGATGTTTGCAGCCAAAGCAGGGGGCAAGTGGAGATGTGAGCAAATGTGTGGATGTGCTGTACATGTAGTAAATGTACCTCATAACATCTGGAAAATGCCCTCATGAATATAAAAAGAAATACATTAGCCTTCATAATTTCCCTCTTTGAAATTTAAGTTACTGCTTCTCTGCAGACTAATGCACTCTTAAAAAAAGCAATTTACAGTTGTAAGAATATTGATCTAAAAATAGAGGCCTGGTCTCAAAATAGCTTCTGTCTAATCAATTAATTATCAGAAGAAAAGTTCAAGTCTATTCTAACAATTCTTGAGGTCCTGCTCACTCTCCGTCCGTCCTCGAGATATTTTGGTAGCTCTGGGAGAGAACAACAGGATGTGAACAATCAGTCCAGATCACAGACGCACAATTCAGATTAGATCTGAATTCTTTTTATGGACGGACTGTAGAATGTGTACATGAAGATCATGCAAGAGAGGGCAAGCAAAAACGAGGTTACATGTGTATATCATTATCATCTAATGACTACAGAATGTGTATTGAAGGGCTACCCTTTTTTTTCATAGATGTCAAGGTATTTGTTATTGTTCACATCTCCATATTTCCAAGTTATAATTAATAGAATATCAACCTTTACAACAATGTGTGGGATTACAATAAGGTCCTGACTATGACTATCAATTGTCTCAAAACCTTTCATAAATGCAGCCTACATTTATACATGTACATGTATGTACAGTGTATAATACTGGCATCAAACCTATTTATAATTGTAAATCTTCAAAGAAGATGAACATCCCAATTTCAAATTAATATGAGACGAACAAGTCATTGAAGTCTGAGATAATTGATAGAAAACAAACAATAGGATTTCATAAATTCTTGACAGCTTTGAGCATTGACTAAATAGCTAATCTTATCTAAAATCTCACTTGCAATCTAAGATCTCACTAGTTAGCAACATACTTTCCATTTATTATGTAAAGAAAATAAAAAATACCACTTTTCATGAAAAAGAAAAAGAAAGGCGGATAGAAAGAGAGAAACCCATCAATTCAGCTGCTTCTGATGGGTAGATGTACATGTATGTAAAACATATTTTCTTTGGAGAACAGAAATATATTTCATTAATTGTGTTAAAAAAATTAATGGAGAGTACACTGAACTCCAAAAACAAACCAGTAGAATTAAAAAATTCTTACTTTCTTTAACTTGTATTATTTATTCCCAAACTATCTGAACTCTCATTTTCTGCTTTCATTTAAATTAATTTGATGACAAAGTTGGACTTTCTTTTTTTAGTTTTGCTTTACTGATTAATTCATCATATAATGTTGCATGTTTGTGAAATTTGTGTGTGATTTTTGAATTTGTATTCATTTTATATTTTGTTATCATGGCTGTGATTTAAACCCCTAAAACTAATTCAGTGCACCGATTTTCTGTCATTGAGAATCCCAGACAGAAACTACATGTACATGTACATGTAGTTTCTACATGTCATACATGTATGTGTAATAAGCAATCAGAGCCAAATTCTATAAATTTCATGACACTGCATGTTACAATGTAATTTCTGAGATGAATTATTAGTTCTTCTCCATCTCAACTTTCATTTTTTTTTAAATTAATCTAACCATATATTTTGCAAAAAAGCAATGTAACTACATGTATGGAAAAACAAATTTACAAACCCGAGGAGATGTACAAATCTTAACAACAAACTTTGAAATCATACTAATTTACATAATAATACTGCTCCATCTTTAATACTTGTATATCTCCGATGAGATACATATGAATCAAATTAATATCATGGTTTTTACATCATGCTTACAATTTTTTTAAAGAATTTGAAAATAAATTTGAAATTGGTGAAATGTCTAGTTTTTAACAAAGATAGTTTTACTTTGAGACAGATAAAATTACTTTCAAATGATTATCAATATCAGACGGTTGCTTCACACGTACATGTACATGTACTGTACAGTATACTGTACACGTGGGTAATTGACACTGTACAATGTATGTGTAGTTTGTTCTGCATCCACTATTTATACAAATAATGATGTTTATGAGTTCAATAGTGCGAGTATTTTCACGAGTTGAAAGATTAACGTTCTATTCAACAATGCAGTATTTTCATGAGTTGAAGAGAACGTTAATCTTTCAACTCATGAAAATATACACACTATTGAACTAATGAAAAATATTCATGATTCATTATTTGTTTTAAGTAACAACATCGTTTAACAGCGCAAAATTGTTGTTTATACTGGCCGCCATGATGACCCTGGTCGTCTGCTTGTGAATTTACGTGTGAAAGGTTGTGCTGCAGTGCGACATCACAACTACAGTGTACAGCAAATAATACTGGTCGCACAAACAGTATAAGTTATAACCAAAAATGCATGCTCAATGACATAGTCGTTCAATAGATTATTTATTGAATATCATGTGACCAACCAATCAAATGGCAAGGATCTACTTAAATGTATATAATACACCTTCTGCAGAATTCTGCTCCCCTCTTTTTTTCTTCTTCGACTTCAGTCTTCACAAAAATGAACTCAATCTGGCTGTTTCATAGAGTCTACTCATATTAACAATAACATTAACATCATCAAACTTCAGACCTTGTCGAACATCATTTTTTTAAATTCACATTTATTTCATTTTCACATAGAGTCTAGACTCTACATGTAGATCTAGGTCTAACGTTAAATTGAATAACATTTGACACATTTAAAAATCAATACTTAAACATACCTGTTGCGGCAATATTGCCATAATATGGTGATCCAGGTTCACTGTCACTGTCTTCCAACCTTCCCATGATTTCACCTTTCCCAACATCACTGTCGCCAACCAGGAGAAACTTCAGCAAATAATCATACGATCGTGCAGATGGAGAACTGGGAGGACTCTCCATAACTTCGGTGAAGTTTTACACCCGCCTGGAAACAACCCAAAGTCTTATAAAAAGTTATGTAGACTGATTAATAAATGATGATCAAACCATGGTTATCCTAGTGAGATGAGTCAGGATTCAGAATGAATGTTGCAGTACACAGCTCAGCTCAGTCGCACAGCGAATTTTCCAATACAGCTTACGGAGCAATTACGGCCTGTCGATGCCACAGCCTTCCGCTGGAGCCCCAGTGCGCTTGAGGAGCAGAACAGCTCTTCCGTACACAAGCAAAAATTATGCAGATCAGTTTCTACCTTTTCCCGACGAAAACATTTAATTATGATGATAAAGCACACATCTACAGTCCACGATGTTTGCAAAGTTTATTAAAATAACGTGGCATAGGATCAGCTGATCCATGAAAAACAGTAAAAACAATCATGTTTCTGACGTCTTTTCTCCGAATTCAGCTTAGACAAATAAATGATGTATCGTATACCAAATCAACAACCTCGTTTCCAAAGATCGGGTGCGGTGCAGGTGCAGGCAGTGCACTATACGTGGGCCGTTGTTTACTTGTTGCGCCATCAGGCAATGGGGGCGACATTACAGAGAGAAAAAAAGCATACTTCTTATAAATGTGATTATGACAGATAAAACCTTGATAAAACGACGAAAGTATTGTGCATTAAAATAGCGGTTACAAATAAGCATATTTTTACAGCTCGGGTGAAAACGAAATTCCCTAAGAAAGAGAAGTTTTATTTTGGTGTTGAACATGTTCCCCCCCCCCCCCCCCCTGGATGGGGTAAAAACTGTTTTTGGCTCCAAGGGATTTAATTTTTAATTGACCATACCCTAGTATCTCCTATTTACAAATTCTCTGAGTATAATCAATAAATTATTATCCCCCTTAATATCATTTAGCTCATCTCCCTGTAAAGAATCAATATGCATATATGGTAGAACTTTCATTTTAAATATTCATACAATTAATGTTAAAAGGGGATGCAGATTACTGTTGTGCGATATATTGAGGCAGAGAGAGAGAGAGTGGGAGAGAGAGAGAGAGAGAGAGAGAGAGAGAGAGAGAGAGAGAGAGAGAGAGAAAAAAATAGGGGGGGGGGGCGAAATCTAGCAAAGACTAGCTTGAGTGTTATTAACCTTTCCAAGATTGAGATTGTTACATATTTTTGAAACTTAACGTTAGTTTACCAATTACTTAAAATGTTCCCTTATTCATTCCCATAGAACAGGTATACCTTCATATAATTGGACATTAACATCATGTTAAAGACAGCAGATAATAAAGAAATTCATAGTCATAGATGAGAGGGAGACATCTTGAGTAATATTAGTTTACTTCCAGATGCATTTGTGTTACCGTATTTCCTTCCATTTGAATAGACCAAATTTGTATGAATGTTTTGACTTGACCCTTTCTCTGTTTCTGTCTCATTACTTTCCACTCATATCCTGAATATACTTTAATGAAAATGCTGCATTGTCTTGACATAAATGTAGTTGTACTTCCCATCATTTTCCTCTTTTTACCAAAAAATCTCACTTTCATGAACTCATACTAATTCACTCAAACACTGAAGTGCAATGTAAAATCTGTCTCTCGACCCCTTGCGCTCTCTCTCTCTCTCTCTCTCTCTCTCTCTCTCCCTATTTCCCAGTCTCTCACTCCCTATCTTGCTCTCTCCACCTCCCCTATGTTCTTTATCTCTCTACTTGTATATTTCCACATATTTACCCATTTTAGCCATTACTACATTACTTTTAAGCAATTACAGTGTCTTGTACATTTGCACAGAATATATTTTTTAATACTCTATGTCAAAACAGAATTACATTCTTGGCTGCAAATAACAAATAAATAACAAGGCATCACACCATTCAAATATTTGCTCACCCAAAACATTCTCTTTTTTCAGTAGTACACATCAAAATCATTACAACTTCTTTGAAACAATATTTTCAAGCAATGGACAAGTGTTAGAATGGTTGAAATATTTTCAATGCAAAGAGATACAAGAGTTATTATAAGTACAATTACATTCAATTTCAATTCATTACATAACAAATTAATGTTTGTTTCTTCTCTACCTCCTCCCCCCCCCCCCCTCTCTCTCTCTCTCTCTCTCTCTCTCTCTCTCTCTCTCTCTCTCTCTCTCTCTCCTCCCTCTCTGTCCCTTCCCCCAACCCTCTCTCTTTCTTTCTCTATACAGATGTCCCATACATACTTCTAACTAAATATGACACTCTATTTTGTTCGGGGATATGTTCGCTGAGACTATGTCTGGTTCTGAACCCCTCTCCTTTACAGTGATGTCGAAAGATGATAACATTCTCCAGACAGACTTTTAATCTACTAATGCTAACCTGCAGAATTTCAATTATGGATTGTTGCTATGGATTTCTTTCACATATAATAAAACTTATGAAAGTTTGCATTTAGGATTTTTAAAACCTAGAACAAGTAAAAGAAATTAATGAGGGTACATTATTCGTTCTCCTTTCAAAGATGTCTGCAAAAGGAAAACATGACATATATGCAAATCATTAGTAAACTATGATTTCAGCAGCAAAATATCAAACTGTCATAAAGATAGGGATGAATCAAGGCAACATAAAATATCTAGATATATACATATATATATATATATATATATATATATATATATATATATATATAACAATCTTATCTGAGAACAAAGAAAGTTTTGAAATATAATTGTGTGATAAGTTGGAAGGAGAGAAAAATGTGTTTCACAAAAATATATCATATCATTATCTAATTTCACTGTACATCATTCTTTTTACAATATAATCTTTCAATATTACTTCAAGATGATTGAATGTTTCTCACTTTTTCATAACACAATCAATTCAAACCCTTTACGCTCGCTGTGCATGAGGCATCAAGTGTTTTTGACATGCCAAGTGAGAGTCACAGCATTACTTCGTACATCAAGCGATTGCAAAATTAACATTGCAAATAATGCTTTGAATTACTAGTGTAGTGGCGTATGGGTTAATTTCATTCACAGGCTTCGTAAGCACAGCTAATAACACAATAAAAATGATGGCTCCTGTGCATCTGGCAGTAAATTTGAAACAATTACAATAATGAAACATATGTGTAGACCTTAAATGCTTATTTAGTCATGACTGCATAGACAGTACCATGCAAATGTTCTTAAATAGCTCTTACAGATACAAACTAAAAAATGTAAAGCTTTGAGAGAAAAAGTACAGAAGAAATAATATAAAAACATGATGATTGCATGCATAGTTTAACTTTTTTGCAGACGCGTGATCAAGAAGTCTGAAAATACACATTTGTAAGTACATGATGAAGTGTTTAAACAAAGAGTGTACCTCAGTACACGGATCACACTAGATGACTGAACAATGACAGTAAATGGCTATGAAAACTCAAGATTATGTTCTCATTACCACATAATCTGTTCAGAGTAAAAAGGACATGAACTCTGTGTCCAAGTATGAGTTAATAACCTTCCGGCTCCAGGCAAATTTAAAAATAAAGCACATAAAACTTTACATTCAAATCACAACTGCAATAAATCACTGAACTCAATAACAATGTAATTTGACCTTGGATGGACACTTAAGATTGATAATGAGTTTTATGCAACAAGAATCTGCTTTAATGAAAGACTTTTATGACACCATCATTGATGGGTACAGAAGACTGTGAGGAATTTGATGCCCCCTAAAGAGGAGAAAACAAACAACAAAATCAAATAAAATCTAGTTAACACTCACGTACAGTTTTGGTAAGACTTCAATGACTTTTACATTAGATTTCTTTGATTTCAGATGATACATAGAAAGATAATAGTAATACTAAACTGCTGTGGATTTTGTTCTCCTCAAGTGAAAAAGTGAACAAATGAGGGAGAAAATAATTTAGATACCATCCTTGGAAGTAAAGAGTAAACAAAACGGCAATCTGCACTAGACATGTGTAACACCTGTGTACGTACTCTACAGTCTACAGACACACCGTCTCCAAGCGAAACACTGAGATCAATGTGCCGGGAGCCATCGGAATGGAAGGGTAGGGGAGTGTATCACTGTTATCTTGCATTCACTGCATTACACTGAAATTCACTGAAATTCACTGGAAATTAGGGGTAGAATACCAAATACATCTTGTGATACAAGGAGAACAACATGAGACCAATTTTAAAGGGAGTGTAGCTTGGCAAATACTGGTTAATGTCATCTAGGTCTTCTTTTGGAAAACTGCAATCAAACGAATGGACCTGATTAAAGGTAGTCAGCGACTCAATCTCTACGTCGTCAGTGTATGTTGCATGCATGTGATTGCTGCAGTCCCGTCATCCGTAGCCGATTGGCCCCCGAGTCAGGCCACAGGAAAGACACGTAGTCTGGTCAGGCTACACTCCCTTTAACATGTTTCTTTCCTATTTCATTTTTGCTACCAAAACTGTACATGAGCTTTAAGAGGGGCCTAGGAATCATCCACTCCATCTGCAACGTCCATGGCTTCGTCGTGGTAGTCACCTAGCCCTGACTTTCTCAAGAGTAACTTTCTGATCTCCTCATGGCCCATGTCTGTAGCTAGCTGTAAGGGTGTGATGCCGTTCATGCTGGCTGTGACATTTGCACTAGCAGATACCAACATCTGGGTTGCCTCGAGATGACCTGCAGTCAATGTAAATGAGATTAAAAATTCACTCTCTTATAGACAAAAATCATCAAGTCAATAGTATGTTTTCTCCTTCAAAAGTATCTATCACTGAAGTTATTTTGAGAAAACAATTTTCAAGCAAAACAATTTTTGCTTTTAAATGTGGGGCAAGAGAAAAATTGGTAAACATACTCAATAAAATGTGGCATGAAATCTGAAGTCATCTAGTTCTGCTAAGTCTAATATAGATATTTAAGCTTCAAGAAATATTACTTGGTAACATGTAAATTATTGGCCATTATAATCAATACCATCTGTTTTTTCATCAACTACGTTTAGTGTAAGATATACACCTGTACACTTTAAAAACAGGAATTGATGCATGCAAGACACTTCGCACATTTTGCAAGTGGTCCAGATCCATCAAAGTTTTATGCTGCAGAATAGTTGAATCACAATATCTCAAAAGCTTGAACCAATGAAAATTAAAGTTTACAGTGATAGTAACAGACAAGATGAAATGTAACAGGACAATAAAAGTGTCATGGTCTTGTGGATACGTCACCGGACTGTTAATCACAAGGTCTGCGGTTCGAGTCCCCCCGCGGCACTAATGTCCTTTCACAAGACATTAATCTACATTTGCCAGACTTGACCCAGGTCAGGTAAATGGGTACCCGGTAGGATTATTCCTTGAAATGCACTGTGCGCTGATAACAGCTGCTGGAGCTAGAGCTAGGGTAATAATTTCCAAAGCTCTTTGGAAGCGCATAGGGATTGTGATATACGCTATACAAGAACTGAATGTTATTATTATTAGCTCTGATGCCATTACCTTGCATAACAGCAACGTGAAGTGGGGTTGCATTGTCGCACTGTCCATTGGCTATGTTGACATCTGCGTTTCCCTTGGTGATCAGAACTTGAATACAGTCCACGTAGTTCCAGTTGGCTGCAGTGTGTAAGGGGGTGTTGCCTGATTCACCAGCCTGATTGACAGGAAGAGCAGCTTTGTGCTGAAAGAGAGAAGATTGACATCGAGGAGGGAAATTAGTTTAGGATGCAGTATTTTGGGGGGGAAGAGCAAAGGAAGGACAAAAGAGAGCGATAAATCTGTTGGAGGGGGTCGAGAGTTATTTCATGCAAACACAATCACTTCACTAACATATAAGCATGAAGACTAAAAGTATACTAGAGTATTAAAAGCAGTACACTCCAAATCTGCTGGCGTTACAATCGACTGCTTCATTTAAGAAAGAAAGTGTGGGAAATTGTTAATTCATGATGACATTTTGGTAATTTGAACAGTGAAAGAGAACTCTGACAGAAATAGAATTTTTAATAAAAATAAAATTGTAACTTGCTAGTTTGTCAAAGATGCATTTACAATGTATGATGAATACAATATGAGTAAATTGAAGAGATGAATATTTGTCACTGGTGCGCAGATCTTTGTTTAGGTGTATGTAGAGGGGACAGATTAGCTGTAATACCTTTGAGATGAGATAATGCAGAACACTGCTCTGATTGGCCAGAACAGCAGCAAACGTGAGTGTCCTTCCATGATCATCCCTCACATCCAGCTTTACTCTCCCGTTCCTCAAAAAGTAGTAGATGACGCTGACAAAGCCTTTCTGGACAGCTCTAAAGAGCCTCTGCTGGGCGATAAGCTCGCTGTTTCCTGAAGACTTCTTTTCAGGGATCGCCTCTCCACCTTCGGCTCCCACGGCCTGCGCTGTTACTCTTCTGTAGAAATGAACAACACTGCTCCATATGCTAAGGAGTGCAAAGGCTCTGAGAGCAAGTAAGCTCTGAGCATACGTGCTGTTCCTTGTGGATATCCCGGTGTCTGTCAAGAGCCGCCTGTACGCCTGAGTCTTTTGCGATGTGATGGTGTCCAAGATGTCCAGAAAAACATGACCACCCTGTGCACTGCATAACTTGTTGGGGTACTCCTTAAGTACGGCAGAAACTATACCACTAATATCAGAAGACTGCACTTTTCCTTGTACATATGCATCTCCAAAGGCAGCTATGAGCTCATCTGCCACAATACTTATTTCAAGTTTGTAAATCTCCAGGCGTTGGTTCTCTGGGAATTCCGTCATCCAGAACTGTGCAAATTCCACAAAGTGATCGAGGTTGTTGCACCACACAATCAGTTCGTTCAGCATCTGAGTGGTTCTTTCAAGCCATTCCGTGACAGCAGCATCGGTCAAGTACTGCAGAACATGATCAAAGTTACTTTTAATGGCTTCCCCACTCCCGGGCCTATCACTGCCTGAACTGCTATTGGAACCTGGCCTGGAACCCCCTTTCACTGGTGGCAGTGGGGAATCCCTGCCGAAGTTGAAGCTGGAATGTTCAGAGAGTGATTGGCTTTGCGCCGACCGAGGTCTCTCCCCAGATTGCAACCTTGAGCCTCCTTTGCCGCTGACCGGTGGCCTAGGGACGGCAAACCCACCTTCCTTTGCTCCTTGACCTCTCCGTACGTCTGTTCTCTGCAGGTAATCTCCATTCCCGTTGACAAGCCCTACAGGCCTTTCCCCATAAATGCTCAAAGAGCTGAGAGGTCTGGATAGGTCATAGTCATCATCTTCGTCACTATCTCTTATAGAGAGTCTAGAAACACAAATAAGCTCTCGCAGATCTTTCACACTTCTCGTCATGATGGTACAGACTAGAAAATCCTGGTCTCTGTAGCAATATTGTTTTTCTTTACAGAGTGAGCTGTAACAGCATACATGTATCTCAGTAACAGCGCATTTAATTACAGTTGTATCCTGTTCAAGAAATTCGTAAATTTTCTCAAGCTTTGTGATAGAGAGCAATTGTTTCTTCCTATCTACATGATCGCTATGCCAAAACTAAATCTGCACCACATTGATCTGAAGCTGGAGGCGAACATCGAATGCAAGAAGTCCGACAAAGACGATGGTTGGGATTCTCATGCGGCACTGGTAGGCTAGGTTGAAGAAGAAGCTCAGAGTTCTGGTCAAGAGAGGAAATGGTGGCGGTGTTCGAATCACTGCTGTAAGTTTCCTTTCATGATGGCGTTGGAATCGTGAATATATCATCCTGAATGGTGTTAAATAGAAATAATAAAAGAACAGTTAATTTTTCATATTTTGGGGATTTCTTTTTCCACTCAAATATCCAAAATTCAAATTACAGTATTACAATATATCATAGAGCAAATGAATTATACAAGTAAAGAATACTGATAAGTATCTATGAAACAAATTAAGTTTACAGAGTACATTCAAGTTTGAGAATAAGACAAAACATTTTATATCGCTTGATTTAACTGAGAGGGAAACAAAGGAATCTCTGGAAAGCTAAGCTTGTTGAGCGAGATTCCCAGTATAAATCTCATAGGCCTACATAGAAAGTAATTTGTTCCAGTACCGGTATGATGCGTAGTTATTAAAAACAAGTGAGAAGAAGATAACTACAAAAGTTGGTCATGTACATGATTCATAATTACCATTACTTCAGCTACAATAATGATTTGCATGATGAGAGATGGAATATACATAAGAGCATTAGTACATGTATACTTTTTGCGTAAGATAATAACGGTAAGACACCCTCTATGCATGATCCTCAAAAAAAATTAAACTCAACAGAATTCAATCGAAAATGGCACTTTACTCTTTACTTAGTGACAATTGATGACACCTAAATAGCAGTAAAATACAATCAATTCAACACAACAATGTTGGAAAAAATACTTTGAACATTAAAATTGGAAATCTATTGTCGATCCTGGGGAAGATCGAAGAGTCGCTTTGTATTACTTCCCATTTAAATTTCCAAGTATTTTTTGATTTTTTTTTTCTTCAAACATCGGTCATCAGTGAGCTGAATTGAATTGATTATAGGCCTATTTTAGAATCTACTGCTATTTCAGTGTCATCAATTGTTACTAGGGTCTAGATCTAGTAGGGTCTAGATCTAGTAGGGTGTCTGAACGATTTTTTAATTTTCAATTTGGGATCGTTTTTCACCATTTTTGTTTGATATTTGAATTAAAAATGTAATCAGAATAATACATTTCAAATTTCAAGTCTCGCCGATGTTTCTATCAAAAGATACAGCCCCTTCAAAACGCTGAAATATTCATAGCATTTTGCTCAGAATCGACGAAAAAGACGTACACGCAGAGTTATGTTGTTTTGCTAAATTTAGCCAAACAGCTGTATCGCGCGATATGCAAGCGTATGCATATCGTACGCAAGTTGCTCAGCCAATGCGCGACTTGCAAGCTTGAGCCACGCTGTCTCCTCGATATGTGCCATTGACTAGTATGGGTGGCCGTTCCCGCCGTAGAACCCGGAAGTGAATACACGTTGTAGTCAATGGCTATATTGCGGAGACAACTCTCTGCGATATTGCCATTGACTACAACGTGTATTCTCTTCCGGGTTCTATGGCGGAAATGGCCACCCATACTTTCATTCACTATAAGCGCACATGTTACGCGATGTAACCATGGTTTGGACTGAGCGGAGCTCACGCCTCCCTAATTAGCTGATTCCAAAAATGTGGGAAGGGTATTTTCAAACTGTTATAACAAATGATCCCTTGGGGCTAGCGAAAAAAAAAGCATCTGGATATTATCCTTACGTCTAGCCCTGCTTAAGCCGCGGGGCGGCAGCTCAGGAAAGTGGCAAATTTTGGAGCTAGGATGCAAACAACATTTCAATCGCTGTTTTGACCAAGATATTTTTAGAATTCTGGGGGTGGCCCCCGATGGGGAATATGGAGAAAAACCTGCTCTTTCATATGACACCTCATTTATTGAGTTTCACCTTCAGGATCATTTGTTATAAAGGTTTGAATTTCAAATTTTTTCATAAAATCATTGACCAATTTTGGATGGTCGCGCAATGCACGTACTAGACCACATAGGGAAGCGTACAATCTCTATGGGAAGGGTTTTAGCACACAACATTGGGCAATTGGGTGCGCGATCAGACACCCTAGATCTAGGTCTAAAGTCGATTGAGAATGAGAGAGAAAAAGAGAGAGAGAGAGAGAGAGAGAGAGAGAGAGAGAGAGAGAGAGAGAGAGAGATTGAATATGGAGGAGTGTAAGCACCTTTCCTCACTTCAAAACTTTCCAAACACCACAACTTCCCAATGCACAATCACACAGCCTACGCCTGTACAGCTCAGTAATCCAAGTAAAACACAAATCAACGTTAGTGGGACTGACTGTTCCGAAACCTCGCATATTTACACAACTTGTTCAACCATTATTGAAAATTTAGCAACATTACAGCACCCACAGGTAAAACAAAAACTTTCTTAAATAGTTTGTTATTCTCTCTATTTATCAGATTTGTCATAAATACAAACAGTTATGGAATAGAATTAATATAAACCAGTTACCAAGGCGCCATAATCAGCGGGATGAATCTTCCGCATCGGTGAGCATTCGCATATTTCGCCGATGTAAAGCTAAAGTAGTAAACGGTCGAACGCCAGCTGCGTTGATTATTATTTTTGTAAGAGAGAGGGGGTAGAGAAAACACAAACAAAAACAAAACAACAACAACAACAAACAAGACAAAATAATGATAACAATACAGTCTAGCAAGCAAAGAAAAAAAAAACGAAAACAAGAACACTACAAATAAAACAACTTGTTTTAATTTTTTTTGTATTTACTCTGATACATCTATACTCAAGTAACGTGCCTTTTTCATACGTTGTATATAGTATTTTTTTTCTTCCCCTTTTCCGCAAGCTCATTTTTGTTATTTCCATAATTTCCATACATTATATTTACATTAATCACTCAACAATTGAATGAAAACAAGATTGGCTAAAAATTAAAGTATATTCAACAATTCTTCCAGCTTAGTATAATTTTTAGTTTTTGTTAAAAATTGTGCCTTCACTGCTTCAGTCTTCAATGTCTAGAGTCATTCCAAATACCATTTGTAATCAAATAATGAATTTTCAACAAACCAGCATTCTGTCATTCTCGATAAAAAAAAACGATATTTTTATTCACAAAGGTAATATTTCTATTTATCAATGAATCTTATATAGTTCTTAGCAAGTTAAAACAGATCTACATAAAATTCTGGCAAAATATGTTTAGTGTTGAAATTTATATCTTTTATATTACAATTCAACTGTAAACAAAATGACAAATCCTCTATTTTTATCTGACCAATATCTAATTATATCTAAACCTTTGCAGGCGCGGATCCACTCGGGAGGGAAGGAGGGGGGGGGGGGGCGACGGGCCCGGCCCCCGTAACAACAAAAACTGGTTAAAAATAATAAGATGGTAACAGTTAATTTTACCTTTTTTAAACAAAAACTTTTTTGTTGTTGCCCAAATTTAAAAAAAAGTGTTCCCACCCCCCCCCCCCGCTTATTCACCGACTGGCTGAGTCGCCTCTACATATTTTCTCACAAATTGGACCCCCTAAAAAAGTGTTCTTACCCCCCCCCCCCCCCCCCCCCACTGCTTATTCACCTGCTGGCTGAGTCGCCGCTAATATTTTCTCAAGAATTGGGCACCCCTCTTGCCGCCGACTGGATTTGCCCCTGATATGTATACTAGTAGTTGTTGTTGTTGTAGTGGCCTACAATCTTTGTATTTTGTTGCCGCCTGCTTCTATTAGATTTAAATTTAATATTCACCAAATGAGACGTGGGAATATGATTTAAATTGCTTGCTACCTTTGGTAGAGAACTGAAAATTTCATGCAGTTCCTTTTGTAACTCCTTAAATGTCTTTTTTTTCAGTTTACACCAAAATTCATGTAGCAAAATGATTTTTTGTTAAATCGCTATCATTGCAAAATATGAATGTCTTTTAAGCAGAGGTTGTTGAATGATTTGTTCGAGAGTTTAATTTAACGAGTATCATCCCGAATGTGTTATTTATTATTACAAAATATAAAATATGTATAAATAACAGACTTAATTGTTTTATCTTTATGACTGGGGGCGCTACATTAGAGGAAGCCGCTCGAGGGTAGGTCTGTAGTGGATTACCCCGGCCCCTTCCCCCTCCCCGCCTGATCTCGAAGAGTTTGCCTTCTGCTACAGTTAGAGTGGCGCTCATTGTAGAATAAATCTGTCATCTTTAATAGCGGCAACAAATATTGACAGTTTCATTATAGATTTTAGTCTGATCAGGCGCGGATCTACGGGGGGGGGGGGTTTAGGGGGTTTAACCCCCCCCCCCCCCCTTGGGCGGCCAAAAAAAAAAAAAAAAAAAAAAAAAAAAAAAAGGAAAAAAAAAGAAAAAAAGAAAGAAAAAAAGAAAGAAAAAAGAACGCACGCTGGAGAGAAACCCTTTCAAGTGCAAATATTGTGAGAAGATATTCAACTCATCTGGTAACTTAACCAAACACATGATAACTCTGTGTATTAAACTGTTACTAGTACTTGATTTAAAAAGACGTTATCATGCACTGCTTTTTTATGGTCTCCATTGTGTTAATAGATGCCAGGAAAACATCACTTACGGGGTTCAAATAAACACCCCCCAAAAAATCGGCTCGCCGCTTTGCGGCTCGTGGACGATGCTCCGCATCGTCATTATTTTGGTAAAACCCCCCCCCCTTAGCAAAAAGCTAGATCCGCCCCTGCTGATATCCTATCCGAATATAAATTCGTTTTTAACTATATTTTTTCCCATGGGTTCCGCTGTGGGTTATGCTGTGCCTTATCGTTATGTAGACAACAAATTTGCGACCGTCTAAAATTCGGTGAAGGGGGGGGGGGGGGGATAAAGGGCATTGCAAGAGAGAGGTTTCCCCTTTGTAATCTTCTCAAATAGCGCAATTTTGCATTCTTTAACGCTTTAGATCCTAAGATTAAACTATATGCTGTAGACTTGTTAACACATTTGCTATGCACTTTTTTTTCATTACAAAAAAAAAAATCCACGGAAACCACCCCAACCCTATTAAGTTTCTGAGGGACTCAATCTCCCCCACCTCCTGAGATCGCAGCCCCGGCTGGTTATTATGACACAGGCACCATTCTGTAACGCCAACGGTGAACAAAAGGAAAGGACATAGACCTACAAGTAAATTACCCTATACTTTTGACAATGCATATTGTTATATGTTATATATTCCTCTATTCAATTTGATCTTAGCAAAAATCCAAAACATTAAAAAGCAGCGAATATGAGAATAATCAGGATAGTTATCATCCTATCCTATCAGTTATCATAATCCGTTATAGTTTTGCCCGCTTGGCCTACGTTTAGTCGAGTAGGCCTATACATATTCAAAAGGACCTTGTCTTTATAACAAAGTTGGCATAAATTACACTTCTCTCTCTCTCTCTCTCTCTCTCTCTCTCTCTCTCTCTCTCTTTCTCTCTATCTCTTTCTATATACAATATACAGTGCGTCCCAGAAAAAACGAAACCGAGAATTATCGATGTTTTATCATAACTTAGTCACATTTATAATTAATACATGACACATTTTTGGAAAGCTTAGATCCTCCTCTTTCATTTGATGCAACTCATGTCATGCATATTTCACGCATGAGAGATTAAAATGAATTTGAAGAGAGGAAACCAAAAAGTCACTTGTCGGACGGTATCTGAATTTCAAAGAGAATATTACATTTCTAGAAAGTTGAGTTTCTGCCCTTCATATGACCAGGCGCGGATCCAGGATTTCTTAGGGGAGGGGGCCCAACTTTTTTTTTTTTTTGCTCCCGAAAATTTGAAAATCGCGCCGGCCGAAAAGTCGCTCATTTGGGGGGGGGGGGGGGGGGGGGGGGGGGGGGGGGGGGGGAGGAGAGCACAATTTTTTTTTTGATCCTCAAAAAAATTTCAATTTGCACCCCCCCCCCAAAAAGGTAAAAATCACGTGATTTTACATGATTTTTTTTCTCAAGGCGGGGGGGGGGGGGGGGCCGGGCCCCCGGCCCCCCCCCCCCCTGGTTCCGCCACTGCATATGACACCTCAATCAGGAAAAATGAGCAAGGAATGAAAAAGTTCTGTTTGTTTAAAGTAGTGCTTGCATTTCCATAATTTTATCAAACGAATTTGTTTTCACTGGCTGCCCGTCGTAGCAACAATCATAATTGACAAAGAGGAGGATCTAATCTTTACAAATATGTGTCATTTATCAGTTATAATTGTGATTAAGTTATGATAAAACATCGATACTTCTCGGTTCCGTTTTTTCTGGGACGCACTGTATATCAAGTTATACTTCTCCGAGATTTTTGTGGCTGTTGCCTAGATAACAGCGCACTGTGCATTTTGTTTTGTTTGCATTGTTAAATGCACTTGTATTTTGCAGTATCATAACCTGATTAAGCCCTATCCCGGCCCCCCCCCACTCAGTGTTATTTAGGGTACGCATATGCTCGTTCCCTCTTTTTGAAAGCACCCCCTATCTGAGGACTGCCAACATTTCCGAACCCCCCCTTTCGCGGGCTTTGCGCGGGCTTTTCCTGCCTTGGAGACCCCCCTAAATCAGGAAAAATGCTCAATGTACCCCCCTAAATTCGGAATAATTTCTCAGGAGTCCAAAGAGATGAGAGAAAAAAAAAGAAAAAACACCCCTTTTTAAAGAAATCTCCGGGTGAAAAGTCAAATACACCCCTTTTTTTACAATTCTCGGGCCGGACTTTGTCGCACGAAAAGTACCCCTTTACCGGACATTTTGGCAACACGCATGCGGTCATTTCGAAACCTGAGTGGGGGGGGGGGGGGGGGGGGGGGCCGGGAGCCCTATGGGCTAAAATTTGTTACACCATTTACGTTGCCAGCGAAGTTTATCTTTTAACATTTTCTGTTGAGTCTCTATTTCAGCAGTTGATCATGATGGGCAATGTACCCCGCAGGAAGGATATGTCCATGCATTATGATGCCCTTCGAAAAAATATGTTTTACTTTCTTGGAGTAGGGTTATTCCCCCCACCCTCTCCAAAATTTCCAGTAAGCTTAGGGGGAAAGAAAGATATGAAAGAAAAAAGATAGAAAGACATAAGGAAGAAGAAAAAAAGAGTAAGAAAATGATGAATCAAACTGGAGAGAAAGAAAGGAAGAAATAAAGAAATGAAGAATATGAGGAAAGGAAGAAAGAAAAAAATAAAGTTAAGAAAAAAAAAAAAAAAAAGAAAGAAAGAAAGATGGGTAGATATAAAGAAAGGGGGGAAGGAAGGAAGCAAAGAAGCCGGGCAAAGAAGAAAGATAGAAATGAATGAGTCAAGAGAGGAATACATTCATTGCGGGTGATTTCCCCCACATGATTTCAAAGGCCTCTAATTAATTGAACCGCGCATGCGTAGATTCATCAGTTACGTTAGCAACCTCAAAGCAACAACTTTCTATGTGACGCTATGACAGAAATATCGCTTTTTTAGGAACTGATTTCGCCGAAAAATATGGATTTCCTCCTAGGAGAAGAAGAGGATAGGTAAGAATGTGTAAATGAAACGTTAAAAGCAAATTTTAAGGCTAGGAATACCTTCAACTAGCCAATGTTTGAATTGGACAAAGTCCGGTACGATTGTTGTGCTATGCAACTTTTTCAGTCCCACATGCTAATATTTGAGTTGTGGAATTTCTGTTCATTCAACTACAAATACAATGGAATCATGCATGAAAGGCATGAGGCTCTTTTGAAATTGACCTAGAGGTGTGATATGCCACTGCAGTAGATTATTTTATTATAAATCACATCCCTTTACCTGTAGTGTATGTACATATAGATCTAAACTCTATTTTTGTTATGACTATGAGATGAAATGAATTGAAAATCAAATGGAAATGTGGCATCAAAATTAAAAAAAACAACATTGAATGAATCATGCAATGAACAGATGACAAAAAAAGAAGATAGTTCTAGATTGAAATAATCAATTTACCCTCAGAGCTGAGACAAGATGTGTGTAAAATCTAACTTCAAAATAATTAAATGGGGGAGGGTAAGACTAAGATAAAATGGATGGTTCAAGTAAAAGAGGAGAGAGAGAGAGAGAGAGAGAGAGAGCTAGGGAGGAGGAAAAAAAAGAAGGGGGGGGGGGGGGTACAGGTTGGATTGAATTGACAGAGTCAAGTCAAAACCTAAGCTAATCTAAGTCTTAAGGCTAGGAGAAAGGGGAAGAATGTGAGAAGAAAAAGATGACACAAGAATGTTTCATTTGATTGACAGGCGGTTATTAATTATAGCTGCTGCAGTGCTGGAATCAGACAGAAATAACTGTGGGTATGCATGATAAGGGGATTCTTAAATTGATTGAAACAACCTAATGTCGACCTTCCTCATGTACAGACGTTAATCCTTGTCGCACGCACAACAGGGGAATTAACCTGCAATTTTGCCACAATCTGGTTTGTCCCCAGTTTTTCTATTATATTTTATTTTCATCACAAAGCAGTGATGTTCTCAATCCCTTTTTATCAGATGTTTAAAAAAAATTGAAGTTATTTGCTGTTTGGGACTTAGTTTAATAATTAATATGTCATCTTTATTAAAGGAACATAACATTGATAAGCACGTATACCTTCTTCATCACCAGGCCTGGAACATCTAACACCTTTGATGTTGGCCAGTCAGCTGATGAAATATTTGATGTAAATGAGAGTGAAGGAGAAGAAGAAGGAGAAGAGGAAGAAGATGGAATTAGTGGCGATAAGAACTCCAGGTGAGCTTATATTTCCACTTTCATTCAAATGCAAATGGGTTAATTAAAGTAATCTTGACTTGCCCATATATCTAGGGCTATAGCCTATCTTAGGATAATACCATGAACTGGCAGACAGTGAATCGAAACTTCCTTAGTCAAAATAAAATAATCTAAAACTAGCTGGAAAATAGTGGGGAAAAACCCTAACAGAAAATATGTATTTATAAAATATATATACTTAAAAAAAATGATACTATTTTCAACTCTGAATACATTTTTCATCTGTCATTTGTTCCAAATCCTTAGCATAAGCATGTTCAGAAAAACAGAAAAATAATTATCTTGTTTTCTAGGAAATACCATAGAAATATTGAGAATGTACAGTATAGAAGAAATTGCATTACCTATGATAGTACAGAGAAATAGGAGTCACAATGAGCCATGTTCTAGATACAAATATAAACTAGCATTTGTGTTATGCATAAGGTCCCATTACCCATGGCTTCAATTTCTTTTATTGTGGTAAATGGTTAATGGGATATACATGTATCGTTCAAGATGTTAATTCTTTTGACACCAAACGTTCATCATGTTAACGTTAACAAAAAAAAAAGAACATATGTAACTGTTGGTTTCTTTTGATTAGCCTGTGGGCTTGTTGTTCAATCCTGACAAACTGTGCCTCGATAGAATATGGAATTGCTCTATGCAAGGAAACATCTCTTTGACTTGTCATAGCTCTTTTACAATACATTTTTCTTGCAGATCAAAAAGAAAGACTAACAGTACTTTCATGACCCAGACTCAATTGAGCGCGAGAGGAGGGACGCGCCAGAAGAGTCGCAGCAAGGCGCTGCAGGAGAGACCTCCGTGGGTCAAACCTTCAACAAAGAGGGCAGTACCAACACCCGACCTTATGGTGACTCATATCAACCAGACACATGATCAACTTGTAAGTAAACAAAAGACAAATAAACAAAAATGACTGCATTTTATATTTTGACCCTGGCCCAATACATGATTGATTCGTTTCACCCTAGAATTGTTTTATTTTCCAGCAATCACCACCCCCCTCCCTTCCCGTAAGAAAAAAATAGAGTGTTAACCTATTCTGTGTTTTATCTGATAGCATTTGGTTTGTTTATGTCTGAATCTCTTTAAATTTTGTTTTGTGGTTCGTTAACTTCATTTTATTCCTTTTGAAATATTCTCTGAAGGCTTGTTTAGCATTTACCTTAATTTATGATCTTATCAAGAAATTACATACTGCTGATCCAATCACAGGTGTGAGTTAGGATGTTTGTAAATGAAGGATTGTCTCTTGTTTGAGATGAAACGATTCTGAACATTTATTTCATGTTTATTGTCGATCATCATCAAATATAAACACATACCTTGCATTCCTGAAAAATAAAATCATCCAAAATTTTTCTCTAAACCACGCTTACATGAAGCAGTAATCAATACTGGAAAGAGAGCAATGTACTTTCAATAGATTGGTTTACTTACATACTACAATTTTGAACATACTTTTTAACAAAGGTTGTTCTTGTCAACTTGAAAGCTCGCCTGATTCTTGCCTGACATAAAAATTAATGCATGGAAATTGCAAACTGGATTCCAAGTATTGTTGTTCATTTATTAAAAACCGGTTCATAGAATATACCTCACACTCGGTCCCCAGGACAGAAACATGCATAAATTTGAATACATTAATAGTAAACCGGTCTCTTCCTCATTCATATATCACATTTCTGTCCTCTTACATCTGATTACCTTGAAAGCGTGCACGTGACATGTCTGCCATGTTCAACGAGGGGCAGACATCGGAAGACTGGTTGGCGAATCACTCCGTAGAACACTTCAAACTTACACTCAAGAATCTCTTAACCAAAGGACAGATTGTCAAGTAAGTTTGTTGTATTTTAATGTAACATAAAAATGCAGGTACAAGAATGAGTTGCTTTACCTTTGTTATCATTTTATTATTATATTTGTTATTAAATGTGTTATGATACTAATTTGACAATCTTTCACTATTTCTCAATACATTACACTTGATTGATACTTTTATTGAAGACATAATCCCTTGTTTGATTATATAGTAAAATACAAATTATACTGTAAGTGTAACTTAAACTAAGTAGGCAATGATATATTTTGTTATTAATCTGAAGCTGAAATAATCAGCAATTCAAATCTGTGTGGAAATGAATGAAGAGAAAGAAAGGCGATTCTAATCGATATGGAACTTAAGATCCTTTTGTATGATTGTTCATATTCTCTTAAGATATATATATAAGAGTTTTGTATTTTGAGATATGCATGGATGATGAAGAATTAAGATATTTCTTATCATTTTTACATGTTTCCTATGTTATTTCTTACACCTGCAGACAAAGTGGGATGAATCAGAGTGGCCCAGCAAGACACCTGCAGTTTGAAGCCAGTGCCGTCAATGAGTTTGAATACAAGCTGTATGAGTATGTATCATTTATACCCAGGTTTTGTCAAGTCTAGTAACACAGATAAGAAGATTTTTTATGATTAAGTGCACTCATTTTATATGAAAAAGATCATATATATGTTGGATATATAGGATTTATTGAAATCAAATCATATAAAAAACCAAGAACAAACAGTCCGTAGACTGACACCTGTCTTGGGTAATAGATAAAATTTAAATCAAGTATACACAATAAAATAGTAGTAACAAATACATAAATAAGTTACATAAGTTAAGATATCAAATAATTATCATCACTGAATATTGAAAAAAGGACATACATGTATAAACAATAACAACAATAAGTATACATCATTACAATTATAATAGAGTTATTATGATTATCACTTGATAATAAGTCATGTGTGTATGCTCTAAAGGGTACAGTAATATGAACATGCATGCTATTACACTGAAAACAAGTTAAACTGTGTTGTTCCTTATTTTTTTTGTAGGACCATTGAGATGTACCACAACAGGATCAAATGGTTACTGAAAGGAAGCAGAAAAGTAAGTTCTTAAATTTGAAGTCTGTAGTGCCTAAATATCCATCAGATCGAGAGCAGAACAAACACAGATATGAGAGTTAGTATTCTATATGTTGCTCATATTCATTGGGGGGGGGGGGGGGGTGAGGAGGATAGACATATTTCTTTTTAATTGTTTCATTTGCCCTCATTTCGGGCTGACTTTTCGGGCTGATGTGCAAAGTCAAAAGATCACATGACTTTGTAACGGTAGGTCCGATTTTTAAAAGATTTATTTCAAAAGATGGGCAAGACTCAAAAGGTTAAAGAGCCACTATAATAGCGTGTAAATTGCATTATGTTGTGTTTCTCCTGGGTAAATGCAAAATAAGAACAATACTTTGAAAACCAAAATTTGTGTCTTATTAGAGTCATAAATCTGGTCAGTTCTTCTCTATGGTTGTAAGTGTAGGACAATATCAAAACGAAGAGTTTGAAGGAAGAATAGAGGCTACAGTGACCCGGTTCTTAAGAAAGATCATGAATACTGGTTTATCTTGGACAGAAAAGATAACAAATTAAGACTAGCAGATAATAGACATATATTGGATGGCCATGACCGCTGATGTCTGTAACAGACCTGGCACCTGGTGATGATACTGCATGCATGTGTGTGTATCTTTTCAATAACAAGATAAATTATTAAATGTGTGATTGTTTTCTTGTTTAGACATTTGGAATGGTAAAGGGACGCAAGATTGCCATTCTCGTTGACAGTTCAGATGCAAACACGGGCTTTGGTAGAATATCAATCTTCAGACAAGCACTCACGGTAAGCAATAAAACTTAGCAGATTTCTTCAGAATCACAAGAACAGTGCAATAGTCACATTCGGAAGTATAATCTACTTTAGGTGTGAGTTCTCTGCATTTAAGTCTAATATCAGAGCAACGATCATTAGTGAATATTCTTTGAAAATTTTGTACATAATACATTTATAGTTTATAGATGTAGATACGAATATTCCAAACAATTCTCTTTTGTTGAAGAAAACTGGGTTCTCAGCATTCTTCAGAAAAGTTATCCATTATATGCTCATGTGGAGTAAATTTGCGGATTTTTTGCATATCTTGAATCATTTCACCTGAAATATTAATATGACTTGTAATTTAGATTTTGACTCCTTGACAGCAAGCTTACCCATATCGATTCCCTCAATGATAATGTAGTGAAGGATTCTTTAATGGCAATTTGGTATATTTTTTTTGCTGATCTCTCTCTTCAGGAGTTGATTGATGAACAGCTTCATGACAGGGAGATGCTCCATTTTGTATCATTTGGGACTGAAGTAGACTCTTTATGGGACAGACCAAGATTTGTCAACATTAGAATGTAAGTTATTAGTGAAACAGTATTAGCTTGAAAATGTGAGTGTATGTGTAGTTGCAATCTGGTGATAAAAAGTAGACTGTCTATGGAACAGACCAAGATTTGTCAACATCAGAATGTAAGTTGTTAGTAAAATGGTATTAGCTTGACAATTTGAGTATTTGTGTAATTGCAAGAAAACTTTGGGAAGACTGGTGACAAAATTATATGTTTATTTTAAGACAACTCAACATTCATTGTACACTAAACAGGATGATTATTGTTCTCCATTGTGGTGTAAAATTACGCGATGATATAAATTGATAAGCAAGTTGTAAACAAGACAATAATTTTTTTTTAAAGCATAAGTACACATTTTGAGCTGTTAATTACTCTGAACCAGGTACCAATTTGATTTGGAAGCTGCTGAGTAAGGTTTCTTGAATGCTGTCATATGTCATGAAATATGTAGTAACCATTCAAAACTAGTTAGTATTATCTGAACTATTTTACTTATTTAATGTGTAAAAGGAGTTACAAATCATTGCAAAACCTGACATATATAAATGTTTAAAAATAGGAGGCGCAATGGCTCAGTGGTAGAGCAGTGGTCTCGTAACCTGGAGGCCCCAGGTTCTAAACCAAGTTGCTGCGCATACTGCCGTTTTGTAAGGCATTATTCCTCATTACCAAGTCCCTCTGAGAGGACTTAAAGACTGTTCCCTGGTTGCTTACCCACAAGCATACACATGCTTTCTTGGCAGTCAGGTAAAACAAACAAACAAACGAACAAACAAACATACAAACAAACAAACCAACATTTTCAATTGAAATAGCACTGTCTTTGTTGATTCATGTGACTAGGTTGGATGAAGCCCGGGCTTGGGTCAACCGGATCCAAAGCAGTGGGGGATGCAACCTGATGGCAGCCCTCAAGAAGATCTTGAAGACCAAGGATATAGACTCTATCGTCGTGGTCCTAGGAAGCTGGTAAGACCCATAGTCATGGAAAATCTTAACATTTCATCTGTTGACCCCATCTGTACCTCTAAATGGCAAACCATTTTTTTTCCTTCTGAATTACCATTGAAATGGTAAATTTTAAGGTGGAATTCTTTGATACTTTTTTCTTCATATCACATAATGCATTTGCCAGAAAGTGCAGATCTCGCTCCAAATGCGCATGTAACCATGTACAACACCGCACATGTTAATTTATGGGTTGCAATTACCTCCCATGATATAGGAATGCTTTACATGTATATCCTTGATTGATCTTTGTTTTGTTCGTAAATTCAAGTTGATAAGCCTCTTCTTAAAAAAATCAGCAATTGGATTCAAGAAGTGCAGGAAACTGAATCAAGTTTTTGACTCCTCCAAGTAGAATTTTGTGACAATCCAGTAGTTCTGATGTAGAAAAATAAATCACCATTTATGCTTCTCCCCTCCCAAAGCATCTAATTTCATTAAATAAACAGTAAAATATTGATGCAAAATGCAGTGGAAAGTTAGTAAGAATATACTTGAGTTATTGCTTCTGCTGATTGATTATCTTCTTATTTTTTCTCTCCCATTTTTGTGATAAGTGCGGACCAAAATTCTGACGTCCTGGTGGATTATGTCTCTCAGACTATCTGTGGAGGAAGAATTCCTTTGCATTGCATAGCGTTTGACTGCAACAACCATCTTACAAATGTAAGTAGACACCTGTCATAGGGAATGTGGATTAGACGAACCAAGCTACTTTGGTTCAAATTGTCAGGATTATTCATTAAAAAGTCTTTAAGAGTGAAAAGTGCATCACTCATTATAACAATGGTAACAATTAATTTTCAGTGCATTCTAAACAATTTTTTAATGATGGAATTATATCACATAGTATCTAGCTGTTGAAGAAAGATGAACTGAAAATTTTACATAGAATAATAGTTATCTATAGATAGCCATTCACAATGAGTGAATATCTGTGTTGTATATCCATGACTATTTCTTGCTCATTTTTATCAATTTCAGTTGTCACTGCGAAAGTTAGCTGAAGCATCAGATGGACGCTATCATGTGTACTCCTCTGGGGCTGAGGTAAGGATCTTATTTCATAGCTCTTCTTTCAAAGTGCAAGATGGAAACTTACATGTTTATACTGTACTCTAAGAGTAGAAATGAATAGTGAACTTGAGTGATAGTTTTAGTGTACTAACTACATATCTCTTTAGGCATTGTACATCATAATGACAAAGTAAACATTTAGAATCATCAGTATAATGCTAGACATACAAACCAATAAATTTGTTATATTGGTATATGAGCCAATTTCTGTTAGTAAATGGCAATCTTGAGTAACGGTAAACGAGAAGAAACAATAATTACGAGCAATTACAAGCTCTTTGTCTGAATTTATACAAAGAAAAGAAGTTTGGTAAGCCATACTCTGGTATTGTTTGAGAATATCTATATGGTTCAAAGTTATTTTTTTATCAAAGTTTTAATCATAGCTTGTCTGCTCTGATGGGATTTCAGGTAGGTTGTTGGCACTACCATACATGTTTGGAACTAGTTTTTCCTAGAAAAATGTATATTTTGTCTCATATGTTATAATATTTGTCACTCCAGGAACAAATCTATACAGGCACAGACATCACAACATTACTGAGAGAGATCAAGAGAGCTCAGGACGTCATCAACAAGATCGCTGAGATGAGGCAAGGTATGATGGGAGATGCTCTCGTTAGCATCCTCAATGAGGTAAGACATTACTAAATTGTGCAGATTCACTTTTAAAAATACCCTTGGCAACCAAGAAATGGGTTATTTAGGTAGCTTCAAGACATAAAATTAGCATGTAAAGACACATCTAGAAACTTTGGAAGTACATCTTAACTCCTTTCATCAGAATGATCTGACTGATAGTTTCTGTATCTAGCCTATATCGCAATTGTAAAGGAAGATACATCCTAATGTTATAGATACAGATCTGCTTTCATGCGGTTTTGGCAAATGTGATTTTGCTTTCTGGGTACATGTATGTCCTTGATTGCCACTACACTTTGCAAACCTGCATTAGTTTTCCTTCCACTTGGCTCCCATCAGGACACTTATGCTCCACCATTGTTTTTAGTGGTTGATATTTTAAGGTAAGAATTACCCTCATGAATGTTTAATTTTATTTAATTCTCCCTCCAGTACAGATTCTCATATGTTTTAGTAAAAGAGAGTCCTTTCAAATTCAATATTTTCTCTGCTATTTTTTAAAAATGTCAATTTTGAAATCAGATATCCCTAGAAGTTCAGAAGCTACCCCAGTCTCGGTTCCTACCCAGACCTCCTAACCATGCCGGTGCACTCACCATCGATGAACCAGCTTCATTCATTCCCAAGGCATCTCATGACTGGCTCCTACAGAACGGACTCAAAGGTGAGCTTCCATCATTATCAATCTCTATAGAAAACCAATAATTTTATCTACCCATTCTTTCATATCATTAAAAAATGATTGATTTGTTATTTTTTGTGCCATGCCTCCACTACCAACTTGCTGGAGGCATTATTCTGTTCATGAAACGGTTTATATTTATATAATATATCATTGTTGTATTTTTACCATCTTCATGAATCTTTTGATCAATCTCACAATTGCAACAACCTCCAAGCTGCATACTAACTTCACATAGTTCTAATGTCTACTTGTTGCTGTTACAAATTACCACTGTTTATCCTTGCTGATGATCCTACATGTATTTACCTAAATTCAGTTCTTAATTACAAAGTTTATGCCTTGATCATTACTTTATGCATCATCACTTTGAGAGAGAAATTGTCATGACTACCGGTACCAGATTTCTGTATAGACATGTATTGAATTATCTCTTGACTTCTCCCGTTACAGCCAAGAGGTTGACATTGTATCAGGTGCTGGCCCCCAATGCCTTTGCACCCATTGAAGAGTTCATACCAATCATCAGGAAATCTGTACGATCACAGACACATGAAGTAAGTTCATATATCATTTTCCATAAATATATCTTCACAATATTGTAAAGAGAACATTATCTCATTTCCTATCAGATGCCTATCATCTTCATTTTCTACAAAGAGAAAGATAGATATGTATTGATAGAAGAGCTTATTTATCAGAGGTTTATACAGTTCAAGTATTCTTAAATTCTCCTCACAATAGAAATATATTAGATTGTTTTAGGCTTTGTTGTAACAAGTAGGTGTATTGATGTTCCTGTCATGTATTATGATGCTTTAAGTAGAATTAACTGTCTTTTTTTGTTTTTTGGGGGGGCATGTTTAAAAACATATGCTACGTTGGCTTTTTTTCCCCTCTTTCATACTTGTTTCTCGATTGTCTGCTGATATTCCAGTGGTTTATTTTGAATGCTTTGAGTAGAATTATCTGTCTTGTTTGTTTTGGGGGGCCATTGTTTAAAAACATATGCTACATTGGCCTTTTTCCCCCCTCTTTCATATTTTTTTCTTGTTTGTTTTGCATTGCAGAAAGCGATGACCCAGTTTGAGTGGCACGATGGAAGCATCAAGAACGTACACGTGGATCCTACTCTCCTCTACGACTACCAGAAGCAGCTTGGAGCCATGGTGAAGCTCTATGAGAGGAGGATCGATTGGCTCTCCAAGGACAGTAGAAGACTCTTTGGTACCATCACAGAGAAAAGGTAAGTATTGTCTTGGGGGGGGGGGGGGGGGGGGGTTTCACAAACCTTTTTTCAATGACAAATATAAAAAAATCAGTGAAAAATCTGCTGATAACCAATCAGAAGCAAAGATTTCAGTAGCTTATAACACTAATTGTCATTTGTCACTGATGACAAGTTTTGTGAAACGCCCTCCCTGGTGTGATGGTGTGGTGTATTGGTGACCTTTTCATTGTCTCCAGGATCTTTCTTGTCAAAGATACAGGGTTAGGGCTATATAGGTACAGTGTTTGGTCTATGGTTGAAGGTAGGAATTTGATGACTTCTTTCCTGGGAGAGAGAAAAGAGACAGAGAGAGAGGGAGGGAGAAATAGAGAGAGAGGGATAGAAAGGAGAGAGAGAGAGAGAGAGAGAGAGAGAGATGGAGAGGGGGAGACAGAGAGAGAGAGAGAGAGAGAGAGAGGAAGAGGGAAGAGAGAGAGAGACAGACAGACAGAGAGGAGAGGAGAGACAGAGAGGGAGGGAGCGAGATAATTATATGTACAAATATACTTTGTAATAAAGAATAAAGAGCATTTTAGTGTAAAGCCATCGCCATATAATGCTCTGTTTCTTGTTGTTACAAAGAACATTACATAAGTCTAACTTTCTACATGATACTTACTTGGTTTGTTCTTCTTTCTAGGGTTGTGATCTTGATAGATCTGTCTCTATCCAACGTGAACTATCTGGTCCACATCCAGCATTCAGTCAGGTTACTCCTAGAACAACAGCTAGCAAACAAAGAAGCCTTCAACATCATTGGGTAAGAACCTGCTTTAGTGACCACCTGTCTACAAGGACCACATTTTTTGTTTCCCTTGAAAAGGTTTTTTCAGTGAAACATATACTAAAGGAACCTGTCTACACAGACCACCTGTCTACAAAGACCACTTTTTGTGTTTCCCGTGGGCGGTCGATGTAGACAGGTTTGATTTTATAATATTATGACAGTATCAAGATTTCTTGAATAGAATAGAGATTATTCTCTTGCATCATTCTCGCAACCATGCTTCCTTTATCATTTGATGTGGTTGTTGTGTCATCATATGGGAATATATTAACATCATTATGTAAAACATTTATAAAGACTCTGTAAAACATATATATATGTAAAACCTTTATTATAGAGACTAATAGATAGTAAATGTGATGAGACTTTCAGGTCAAAAAAAATATCCAAAATGATCAAAATTGTAAGTAATCTGACATGAGAATGTAAGTTTGATAAGAAATGTATAATGTATGATGACCGGGGTTATAGTGTTGGAGCGCCAAGAGCCTCAAGGCACGGCAGACATGTGCGCTATATAAAAAGCTACCATTATTATATTCTATGTGTAAAATTTACAAAGGTTACAAAGTCAGTGAGGGAATGAGTTTACTGCACTATACAAAACTATTAGTGTTACAGTTGTTGTTTTAAAGATCCGATAGATTAAACTAATTTCATTTATCTTCTCCTAGGTTTGGCAGCACAGCTCGTGCCTGGAGACCATGTTTGCAGGAACCTACAGTAGCGAACCTGCAGAATGCATGGAAGTAAGTGCAGAATCTTTTCTTTTGACAAGAATAATCAGGGTCCTGTTGCATAAAACTTACCATTGATGGGAACTTCCATGGAATACTTGATTTTGATTGGCTGTTGAGCAATGTTACCATGGTAGTTACCATTGATAGCAGAGTTACCATTAATGGTTAGTTTTATGCAACAGGTCCCAGAAATCAAAGTGAACTTCAAACTGCATGGATGATAATGTCACTTGTGAATGAAGAATTTGTGGTGATATTTTCTTTGATGGAGTTTTTAAAATTCATCATAAAAAAATTGCCATTGAAGAAGGCATATGTGACAAAGATGTATGCATATATCCAAGCCATTTTAACAGTTACCCACATGATTATGTTGCCTTCGTTAATGGACAACAAAACAAAACAAAACAAAACATAACAAGTCATTACAAGTCATAGTAAAGTGAAATGTCAGAAAAACCCTGAAATCTGTGAAAGCATCAGTGGACATTTGCCATTTTGCCCGATGAAGAGAAAGAAAATTGAAATAGAGGTAATAAGTATGATTAATGGTTTTTATTATTGTCATGTTTCAGGTGGGTACTTGGTTTGGAGTGCAATGGTAGCAGGAACTTCCTAGCAGCTCTGAGAATGGCACTGGAGAATGAAGAGGACAGAAAAAAACAGTCAGGTATGTTCCGTTGATATTCCCATGTAATCTACATAATAATATATCTGTACTCAATAAAAAATTAATTGATTGGATCTCTCAATGTATGATGATTCTTTTTCATCCATTGAAGATGGTTTCATTTTCAATCGAACTTATAATTCAATTAGGTTACATGAGAACTCTCAGGTTCAGTCTTACCCATGCTGAGATATATATATATATATATATATATATATATATGATGTAAGCAACAGTATGAACCCACTGAGCTTGGACTCAATCATCTAATTATGCTATTCATTCACAGATGTTTTGTCATTCTAATGGTTGGAGGTCTGAACTTATTTACCAGTAGTCTCCGAGACCAGGCCTTGGTCTGGTCTGTTTTAAGGCAACTCTGCCTAGACACTCCTGATTCCAGTAGACCCTTGAACCAATTTCACTGTAGACCAACATCAGTTCTATTACCTGAGCACCCTTTTCTATTCATTACACTACACACTGAATGTAAAAATTCCTAGAACATGACTTATCAAAAATAATATTGCTAGTGATATTCGTTGTCTCGTAATGTATGGTCAACAAGGGATCCAAATGATCACAACGTTTTGTATAAAATACGCTTGCTTACATCATATTTTATCACCTGACGAAGTGATGCAGTGGCACACGAAACGTTGTGATCTTTTAGATCCATTGTTGACCATACATTAAGACACAAACGAATATCACAAGCGATATTACTTTTGATACTATATCCGCAATGAGTAATATATTTAGAAACATGTCTTATGTCAGAAGAACATGTTACTGATTCCACTATTCCATCCATTCTGTGCCTCTAGTTGTTGGAGGTCTGTACCTCTTCACCAGCAGTATCCCAGACCAGGCCTCCTTTTTTATTCATTACAATACACACTGAATGTAAAAACATGACTTAAATGCCAGCTAGGAGATCCTGCAACTGATTCCACTGTCCCATCCATTCTATCCCTCTAGTGGTTGGAGGTCTCTATCTCTTCACCAGCGGCATCCCAGACCAGGCCTCGGACGTCATCTGTTCCTTCATGGAGGAGGCCTCGGCCGGCCAATCCACCAAGGTCCATTCCATCCTATTCAACGTCGACGACTACGACAACGCTGAGGGCGCTAACCCCGGTCGCTACGCCAACATCACACAGACGGCCGAGTGCCTGCGAACCCTGGGTCACGTGACAGGTGGGCGGTTCCATTGGTTCCGCGAGACGGGGATCATCGAGAGTGACGATATCAAGTTGATACTGTGTGAAATGGACAAAGCAGTCAACTACTCCCAAAAAGTAAGAGTAGCATTTTTAAAAGAAATTCTGAATATGTTGATTGAAGGATGATTCAACCCATCGCCTATGGGAACTGGGTGGTCCCTGTATAAAGCCTATGGGACTTTGACAATGCAGTAGTCAGCAGGTTAATAGAATATGGATTAATTGTACTCACATCATTGCGGTGAATTAATAAAAGAGTAGACTCTATTTTGATTTAAAACAATGTCACAGAGTAAACTCCTCGCGACTCGCGAGTATATTGTACAAATACCTTCTGAGTTTAAGACTACAGATGTGCTATACAAACTTTGATTTTTTTTTCTTTCATTTCTGATGTCATCTTTTCCCCCCATATAATCTATTTCAACAGTGTGCAATGCTGGTGGAATCTGTGAAAAGGAGGTCACCAAAATATGTAAGTACTATGAAACTTAATACTCCATATGTCAAATATACAATTTAACTACATGTAGCAGTTAATTTTTGTTTCTCTCTTTTTGTGTAGGATTTTTTTCAAGCGTATTCATAGTGGCAACAGAGTTTCGGAAGGATCTCTTCTCATCTAGCTTGCATTGAGTGTATCTAATCATTCTAATAGTACATGCCATGGTTATGCTTTACACATTTTGATTTTAGTTCATAAGTTTATTGTCATGGTATCAGAAAGTCGGTTTCAAGATAAAGCCATGCAACTTCATCGCTATTTTCAGTCAGTAAAACAAAAAAAATCAACCAAATATTTTCCATGTTGACAGAATGCATGAAACATTAATACATTAGTACTAAATCTACTGCGAGACAAGTTCTCAATTACCGGTAACACAAATCTTGACTTTCATTACCTATAAAACCTTCCAACAGGACAAAACCTTTGAAAATATGATTAAATGATTATGTTTTTGTTTTCCTTCAGGATAACAAGAACACAGAGGACACTAAGATGCTTCCTATGAGACCTTCATCGGCCAAGAAAGCTCTGATAGCTCCTAAACACACTGAACTCAGCTTGGCTAGATTGGTAAGATATAATAATAGCTCACATTTATAATGCGCCTAATACTTTGTTTCTAGGCGCTGTACATATTATTACCCCGGTCATCGGATTCAGGCGTACCAGCAAACAATGACTGTACATTCTTCACTCCCTGGGAGCATTCCGGCCAGTTGCCATTTGACAAGTGCCACTTGCTCATCCAACCACATTAACTTTCGCATCCTACCCTGTACCCATTTAACACTTGGGTGGAGAGTGGCAAATGTAGATTAACGTCTTGCCAAAGGACATTAGTGTCGCAGCGGGACTCAAATCCATGTACCTTAATGATCTGCAGTCGGGTGACTTATCCACTAGACCACAACACCTCTACAGACCACAACACCTTTACCTATACCTATGTACCTATATTACCTATGTAGAGTAAATATTTAGATGTATTTGGTAAGATAGAACTCAGCTTGTTGCAACATGACATTGTAAATCTTTTTGCAATTGATTGATAAATTTATTTCTGCAGCAAATTCAAGACAACAAGGAGAGAGAAGAGAGAAGGACAATAGCATGGAGACCGAGCAGTGCCTCTAAGAAGGCTCTGGTACCTACACGTAAGTCAGGGGAAGGATGCACATATGTAAGAAGGTTTTTTAAGCCTATCTGCACTAGTTTGGCCAGGAGGGATTAGACCTCCCTGCATGGTCGCTGACAGCTCTCAATCAACTCTCAATTAACATAAGAAAAAAGGGAACATGGGAGATTAACGGTCACCGTTTAGGCTTTGTTTGTTATATAGAGGGCACAAGTAGCTATAAATAGTGCATTGGGGCTTTAACAGGCTTAGGTATTGTTTGTTATATAGAGGGCACAAGTGGCTATATTTAGTGCAGTGGGGCTTTAACAGGCGTCCATCAGTCGTATGTGTTTATGTATGTCTGTGGGCCAACCTTTTACGTCACCATCTCAGTTTTGAACAGGGGTCAATCAGAGTCAGTTTGTAGGCAAAGACAGAGAGATGAGTGTACCGTTGATGCAGCAATACAGCTTGGCTAATATATTTCTTATCATTTTGTATTTAATCCTTGAAATATTTGGTAGGTTTAGAAATACCCAGAACTTCAGCATGAAGCAGACTTTGTTTTATGATGTGGGACCAAGTGCAGATCTACCAATTTGTATTCTTATATCAGTTACATATTTTATTAAAGTGTATTTTTGTATTTTACCCCAAATCTCCCCATTGTCAAATTTCTGTTATTCCCCTCTTTGCTAACAGCTCCAGAACCAGTAGTGAACCCACACAGAGGCAATCACCTTTCTAAGAACAGCAATGAAAAAGAGAAGAAGAAACGCCCTACCAGCGCCAAGAAACAACCCTTCTACACAGAAAACAAGAATGACGTTGGTGAGTATATACTCCACAAATTCACAGATTTATGTTTAGACCTGGCCCTGTCTTACCAAGAGTTGCAATAGTGATCTGGATGCAACGTAAATCTTACAATTAGTCTCTAATACCGTATCTCTTTCATACAAAGTTGCAATCTGTATCTGTATCTGTCCGTGACATACAATCACGAGCATCTGGTTGTCGCAAGACAGGGCGCTGATATGATATTCCCTTTTCAACCTTAAGGCTTCTTTTCAATATCAGATGAAAGCAACCATTATGAAGCAGTGTTGTAGTCGAGTTTGGCCTCAAAGTTATATTTTAGTGGCCTTGACCTCAGACCGGCTTATGTGTACAAACTCTATGGAAGGTTATATTTTACAGCAACCTGGTGACTCCAAACTGTTGCCTCTGACTACATCACTGATATTAAGATACCTTCTTATTTTTATAATGAATTTAGTGGAATATGAAGTAGAATTGATCAATAGAAAAATAGGACAGTATATAGCTTGTGCTTCAATAGATAAGTTTATGAAGAAACGTTCCATGAGCTCTGTGTGGACAAATTTTGTTTTTCAAGTATGCAGGGGAGTCATGGTATGGTGGATATACATGCTAGTGTGAAAAACAAAAAACAAAAAACATTTTTTATTTTAGGTTCTTCAAGAAGTCATGGCATATTTGTAACTTGAAATGTGATGTTGATAATAGACATCCAAGTATTTCATCTCATACTCTTTGATCTGCTTGGGCTTATGGTACACTCAATTCTGCTTTAGTGATCACCTGTATAGAAAGACCACCTGTCTACAAAGACCACATTTTTTGTTTCCCTTGAAAATGGTTTCTCATTGAAACATGTACTAAACAAACCTGTACTTAAAGACCACCTGCCTATAATGACCACTTTTCTTGTCTTCCTTGGGTGGTCTTTATAGACAGGTTTCACTGTATCATAATTGGTCCTTTCTTTCCTTTTCTTTCCTACCTCCATCAGGCACCGTGTACAAACAGTATCCCGAAGGGAAGAAAGGAGGGAAGAAGATGGTTCCGCATCCTTCTGTTCCAGACAGGGAGGATATCATGACATCTAACCTGGTAGGCACAGTAATCCATAACCTGCTTTAGTGACCATCCGTCTACAAAGACTACCTATCTAAAAAGACCACCTGTCAACAAAGACCACTTTTGTTTCCCTTGAAAATGGTTTCCCTTTCATTGAAACATGCTCTAAAGGAACTTGTCTACAAATTCCACCTGTCTACAAAGACCATATTTTTTGTTTCGCTCGAAAATGGTTTCTCATTGAAACATGTACTAAAGGAACCTGTCTACAAAGACCAAATTTGTTGTTTCCCTTGAAAATGGTTTCTCATTGAAACATGTTCTAAAGGAACTTGTCTACAAAAGCCAAATTTTGTGTTTCCCTTGAAAATGGTTTCTCATTGAACCATGTTCTAAAGGAACCCGTCTACAAAGTTCTTTCCCTTGAAAATGGTTTCCCTCTCATTGAAACATGTTCTAAAGGAACTTGTCTACAAAGATCACTTTTTGTGTTTCCCTTGGGTGGTTGCTATAGACAGGTTTGACTGTATCTGTCTTTTCCTACCTTGTGACTTGTAGATCTATAAGTCTGCTGTTGTTGATACCCTTTTAACACAAATTTGTAAACGTTTGTAAACGTAGCATTTATGCAAAGGCTAACAATGAGCTGTTGGGAAGGCATTCCTACTATTAAAGACCACTGCTTATGGTATTTGATGATATCTTGATATCCCTGATCCTTGTATTTTTAACAGTGGTTGAAGAAGTACTGCTTAGCCAAGTTACGTCTCGATCTTTCCAAGCTAGTCTCGGGTCCAGACTGTGCCCATGCAAAGCGCCATATCAACACACTCAACAAAACTGTATCGGCCAAGTGAGTATTGAAAGCATACATTTGTAACATATTTGAAGGAATAGCTCATCTTTTCTATAGCTACTGTACAGCATGGGACTGTAATGAGGGTGACTGAGGGTGAAATAGAAGGATCGATGCAGAGTGCAATTATTTGTAAAATTGAGCTCTGTTCTAATACAGAGGAAGAAGTAATCAAAAGACATCCTGATTTGTCAATGATACAGCCTTATGAATATGTGTTTGTTTACATTAGTCTTTAGTGAAGGTAGAACATTTTCTCCACAACTTTCTCTGTATTTGAATGAATAAAAAGCATTTCATCTTTGATTTTATTTGCAGGTATTGCACGATATTTCCAAGTGTTAATATCAAGGTGAGTTATTAATTTCTCCTGTAATTTTAAAGTGATTTTCAAATAATTCATATCATATCTTCATATGGAAAATTTTGATTATATTACATGTACTTGTTTTGTAAAAATGGAAGTTTACATCCAGATTGAATCAGGACCATGGAAAAAATGTACAAAATGGAGTATTAGAATATGCAAGTTTCAGCTATGAAATAAATATTTTCAGAGTTTTGCCTACAACTAATTTATCTCTTCCAGAGTTACTTTCTCCAATCTATCTATCTTTGGATGAAAATTGTTATTATGAAATTTGAAAATAATTCTAATATGTAAATAAATATTTAAAAAAAAAGATTTGTAGACATATAATGCCAATTTCACTTAAAGCCTATCTGCACTAGTTTGGCCAAGAGGGATTAGAGCTCCCAGCGTGGTCACCGGCAGGTGGTTATCTCATCAAACCAGCTCTCAATTAACATAAGAAAAAGGGGACCATGGGGGATCAACGGGTACCGCTTAGGCATTGTTGGCTATATATAGAGGACGCAAGTAGCTACAAGTAGTGCAGTCCTGCTTTAAACCCATTCTCCATCATTTTTGTCTCCAGGGGAAAGTGAAGCATCTTCAGCTCCAGGTCCATGAGCTCCTGGAGTATGAGCAGCAGGTGGAGTCTGTTCTCAGGAGGTATCTACGCAGGCTCCAGTGGCTCCTGGGAGCGAGCAGGAGAACGTTTGGCACCGTCGTGGAGAAGAGGGTATGTATATATATGTGAAAGATTATGTAGGTGCCATAATTTAGATATTGCCATCTTGTAAAATCTCTCTTGTTCTCTCATTCGTCTGACTGGCGCCTTAATATTTGAACCCGTGATCTGACTTGCTCCATACGCTTCTCAGCTCTGTCCTCTTTACTTTGCTCCCACAACACTCACATGTCGCAAAGGTCATTCACCTCGTAATAAGTTCTCACGTGTATCTCAGGTGTAAATACTAGCAAATTGTCACGGTGCATTGCACTTACTCAATACAGCTACACAGTTCAACTAAGACAGGTCAATCGATGAAAAACTGGTTATAATCTGTCTAAAACAAACTTTAATTCTGCTTTCTTCTCATCGAAACATTCTCCATGCAAACAAATGCGTTCTCTAGTGACCTATCCCATGATTCATGTCCAGTATTCAAGTAAATAGAGCACTTTCTTGACAGAAAAAGAAGGTTGAAAGACCATTTGGTTTCCCGGGTTCATATCGTCAGCCCTATCTAATTATATACAGTGTCTAAACTTCGCCACAAGGTGGCGCTCTTCACAAGTTCTGGTTTGTTTGGAAGTTACATTTCCGGCCCCTTAATTTTCAATATAAATCACTTGGAAATTACCATTCTATAACACTTAATCAATAAACATTAACATACAACGGAAACTCGGTTGAACGAAGTCCAATAAAAACAACATTCCTGTCAAAACTTGGGAATTAAGGGCCCCAAAGACCTTGTTACACTGAGCTTCCAATGTACTCAAACACAAATGCCAATAAAATGATCCTAAATCTCTAGCTCACTCATCAATCTACCAACAAATTACTGTAGCCTATCGGCGTATAACTAAAACCTAATTACTCATGTAATGCACAGTGATAATCAATAAAGCAAGTCACAAACTGTGACGGTGATACTGATTTCCTAAAATAGGTTTTTCGCAACAACAAATACAGAACGCTTTTAAACTGATAAAACTGTCAAGTGTTAACTGTCCTTGGTATACACGTACTGTTCATCCTGCCAAATGATTGGAACTTCACAATCTATCTATACCACTCATAATAGAGCGAATAACAACTTACAACATAGCTGCAATTTTTCTATGAACCGAAAGCCAATACTCGCTTCGTAACAACACGGATGCTATTTTTTATTTGGCATACCTGACATACATGTATACAAGGCTCAATGAAACAATACATGTACTAAATAATCAAAACTACCAAGAATATTTTCTTAACTATCTCTGTGTCATGTTACATCTAACATTATAACGTATCTACCAAGAATAAATGGCATGTATAAAAAACAATCAATAAAAAAAAAAAATTGTTTCAAAAAACAATAATGCACATAATAATTTTTGACTCATGTTTATAGCAAAATACCATAACACAATGGCAATATTATTGTCTTTATCGTTTGCATAATGAAACACCTTGATGTTTGCAATTTCAACTGAATTAAATTCATGCACTTTGCATTGAACAACATGAAAGTCGTTAAAAACAACACCTCTTAACACTTTCAAGACAACTGGCAATGTCTTGTGGTCTGAATATATAACTTTTGATTCAAAACTCAGATACACACTGCATTTGCCTTTACTGTGAGCATATGGCATTTAATACCCAGAATCTTAAAAAGAAAAACAACCCTTACAATCCTCATGTTGGCAACACATCAAGAAACCCAAATCATGATTTACAGAACATTGCTAACCTTCTAAACTTATTGTCATGGTTTCCAAAATATGTCTGTTGATTTCAAAGATATTACAACTTATCAGAATCATGCACAAGTTGTATTAAAAGGAACAAATTATCATTACAAAAAAAGATGTTCCATTTAGTCCTCAAAAATGTCTGTCAACTTGCTTGGAAATTCCTTGATTAAAGATACATGTACAGTGTATGTAAATTACACTGAAAAACCAAAGCGAAATGAAATACTGTACTGGTATGTGTGACAATTAGCTGTTTGATACTCTATATTTTAGTGGTTATACATGAATACCAAAATTTCTTTAGTGACTGCCATTTTATCCAAATTTTGCCCCCCAAAATACTCAAAAATGCAATTCAGAAATGTCTTCATTCCAAAATACGTCAGTCATAAATTTTGAAAAACGAGTAGACCTGTTTCCAAGCAACAACAAGAAATCAATCTTACAAGCATTAATCAATTATTGTGAAATGTAGCATGATATAAATAACTTGTATGAATTTCCTTTTGCTCTTTAACTTTACATCAAAACAAATGATGGGATTGGTACAGTACACCAAACTTAGACAAATTTGTTTCCAAAAAACAATTATAACTTTCATGCATCTTAAACAGAGTTTCTTTCAGTCTTCTGTTAGAGTTTTTTCATAGTTCTGTTCAAACAAGCGTAGCACAATTATGTCCATGTCCACTTGGCTCGCTAATATTATCAGACCTCAATGTTATGGCTCCATATGCACAGGATTACAGTACATACTTTCAGTCTCTCCATGTAAACTTGAGCCTATCGCGATAAACGTGCTCCTCTCTTCGCGAAAGAATCAAAGTGAGCTCTTGATGGTCATCAAATTTCAAAACAAACGTGATGATATCCAAATCCAGGCACAACTGGCTTTTCAAATGTAATTCCTTGTGGTATTAAAACCAATTTTATAAACTTTAAACGTTGTAGAAATGCTTCCTTTTCACAAATTATGTTTTGCAAATCAAAACATATTTGTTTTCATTAATGGCAAATTGCATTGATCCAATTTCAGCTGAACGGTGATACAAGCGATTCACAAAAGATAAAAAATTAAAATAGGCTCCAATATCAACAAAGCAAATGGTTTCCAAAAACGATTTCACATTGATCCAATTTTAGCTGAGCGGTGATACAGGCGATTCACAAAAAAGATCAAATTTCACTTGTAGGCTCCAATATCAACAAATATCATTTTCAAAGGTGTGAAGGTGATTTGGCGAACAATTAAGCTCCTCCATTGCGAAAAGGTAAATGATCTCCATTTCTAATTTCACAAAAAACTTGTGGCGGTTTCTCTTTCTATTTCAAATTTCACAAGCTCGATATTCACAAAAAAAATGGTTTCCAAAAAACGATTTCACATTGATCCAGTGGGTGTCAAATAACTCGTTCTGCTTACGCGTCCCCTTCCAATATGAAGCACAGCTTGCTGATCGGCCTTAAGTAGACGCCCAATTTCGTCTTCACCTCTGCTCTTCGAACCAAGCCCTCAGCATCAGGAAGTACTCGAGTAACTCGGCCCAGCAACCAAGAGTTTCGTGGTATTGTCTGATCTACCACGAGCACCAAGTCGTCCACCTGAAGATTACGATGTGGCTCCACCCACTTCTGCCTTTGCTGTAACTGGGGTAGATACTCCTTCGTCCATCTGCGCCAGAACAGATCCGACATGTACTGGACCTGTCGCCATCTTCTTCTTACATAGATATCAGTTTCTCTAGTTATTGTCGGAGGTAGTGCTGGTTGGGACTTCATCAGAAGCAAATGGTTTGGCGTTAATGCTTCCAAGTCGTTGGGGTCATTTGAGGCTTTGGTTATAGGCCTCCCATTGATGATACCTTCAGCTTCACACAGGAAGGTCTGTAAACCTTCATCGTCCAGTCTTTGTTGCCTAACCAAGTTGAAGAGCACCTGCCTCACAGTACGAATTTGACGCTCCCACACGCCACCGTGATGGGAGCCACCCGGAGGGTTGAATGTCCACTGGATGTTGCGCTGCAACATAGCATTACTGATCTGAGCCTGATTCCAGTTCTCAATCTCACGTTTTAGTTCTCTTTGTGCTCCGATCAAGTTTGTGCCATTATCTGACCTCATTTCTTTTACTGTTCCCCGTCTGGCGATGAATCTCCTAATGGCAGCAATGCATGAGTCAGTGCTCAGACTCTCGGCCTTCTCTATATGTATTGCCCTGATAGCTAAGCAGGTGAACATCACTCCATATGTTTTTACCTCTGATCGCCCTCTCTTCACCACCAATGGTCCAAAGTAATCAATTCCAACCTTCGTAAAGGGGGGTTCATCAGGTCTCACTCGATCAGCTGGCAGATCTGCCATCTTCTGTTGCATAATCTTAGCTCTATGGCGTCTGCAAGAAATACAGCTGCTGATCATTCTCCTGATAGCTGCATTGGCACTGGGCATCCAGTATTTCTGATGAAGGCTGGACAGCATGTAATTCCTCCCCATATGTCCTGACATTTTATGTAGATTCTCCAGGATCAACTTTGAGACATGCCCTTTCTTTGGGAGAATTACTTGGTGCTTTGCATTGTCTGGTAGGGAACTCTTCTGGAGTCTTCCTCCCACTCTTAACAGTCCCTCATCAAGCACTGGATCAAGCTTATAGATTGGACTGGTTTTCTTCACTCCTGGTTTCTGTCTTCCTCTTTGTACCCCAGAGGGGTCCTTGCTTTCCAGACATTTGATTTCCTGTGCAAAATTTTCCTTTTGCACAAACTTCAGGATCACCATCTCAGCTGCGTCCATTTCCTGGAGTGTAATCCGTCCTTTCAAACTGTCACCTTCGGACACATCTTTGGCCTCAGATTTCAATGTGATCCATCTTATGAATCTTCTCAGCCAACACACTGCTCTCTTCATCCTAATCCAGTCTGAGTAGTGATGAATCACTTCATGAGTGTGGTTTGGCACTTCTTTCTCTGGGGTAACTTCAGTGGCAAGGCAGGATTTCTTTACTTCCAACTCATCTATCAATTTGCAATGAGGGACTTCACTCGTTGCAAGCCACTCCTTCTCTGGGTGCCGAAGGAAAGCTGGTCCATCCTTCCAATATTCAAGTTCAAGAAACTTGTCCACTGTTATTCCCCTCGAACATATGTCTGCTGGATTGAGCGAAGACTCGACATATCGCCACTGAGAAGGCTTTGATCCATCACGAATCACGGCTAGTCTATTTGCCACGAAAGTCTTGTATCTAGCAGTACTGTTATTGATGTATCCAAGTACAGTCTGACTATCTGTCCAGAAGTATGTTTCCTCAATAGGAATATCTAGCTCCTGCTTGATCATATGGTCTATCCTCACTGCTACATTCGCTGCTGTCAACTCCATTCTGGGAATGGACACCTCTTTCAATGGTGCCACTCTTGCCTTACTTGTCAAGAATTTCATCCGTACCTCGTCTTCATTCTCCCATCTGAGGTATGAGACAACACCATAGCCCTTTTCGCTCGCATCGGAGAAATGATGCAGGGTGACTGATTGTGGTGCGAAGCCGTCTGGCTTCAGACATCGTTCCATCTTGAATTGCATGAGCTTTGGTAACTCAGTCCTCCATTGTAGCCATTTCCTCATCAGCTCACTTGGAATTTCTGCATCCCATCCTAGTTGAGATCTGCACAATGTCTGTAGGAGCTGTTTTGCTGGCAGCACCACTGGTGATACACAGCCCAAAGGGTCAAACACAGAACTCACTGTGGATAAAATCCCCCTTCTTGTCAGCGGTTTGGCCTTCAGATCTATCTTGACACCAAATGTATCTTCACTTGTGGACCATATGATGCCAAGGGCCCTTTCTGTGACTTGATTCTTGTTGTCTAAGCTCAGATCTTGAACACTCTTTGCCTTTTCCTTTTCTGGAATCGTCTTCATTACCTCTGGCTCGTTACAAACCCACTTGGTAAGATGAAATCCTCTCCCTTCACATGCAGCTGTTACATCTGTTGCCAATTTAACTGCCTGTTGTACACTGGGAGTTGAGAACAAACAGTCATCTACGTAGAAATTCTTCTGAATTGTGCTTGTGACTTCATTTGAGAAACTGTCTGCTTGTTCTTGAGCTGCTCTCTTCAGCGCAAAGTTAGCGCATGATGGGGATGATACTGCTCCGAATACATGTACTTTCATTCTATGGTCAGTCAAGGGCTGCTCAATGTCTCCTTTCTCCCACCAAAGAAAGCGAAGGAGATCTCTGTCGTCTTTGGGTACTCGAACTTGCGAAAACATGCCTTCAATATCCGCCATCAAGGCCACTTTGTCTTGCCGAAACCTTGTCAAAACTCCAAACAGTGTGTTAGTTAGATCCGGCCCCTGTAACAGCTCTCGGTTGAGACAGAACACTCCAAATTCGGCCGAGCAGTCAAAGACGACTCTAAGTTTCTTCTTCTGTGGGTGTACGACTCCATGGTGTGGTAAATACCAAACACGGCCATCATCCCTCTTGGTTTCATGTTCGGGCACCCTCTCCATATAACCTTTGTTCTGCATCTTGGTCACAAATTCGGTGTAGTCCTGTCTGAAATCTGGCTGCCTCTCAAACCTTTTCTTCAAGTGAGCCGCCCTCTGCGTTGCCTGACTCCTATTGTTAGGAAGTTTAACTTCCTCTCTTTTCATAGGCAAACCAATTTCAAAATGTCCATCATCTTGCTGCTTAATTGACTTTTCAACTTTCTTGATGAAGGACAAGTCCTCTTGCGACTTCTCTTGTTTGTCGTTGATAATTCGCTCATTAAAGTCCTGATTGAACAGACTTTCGAGTTGTTGATCTATGTTTGTCTTGGCCTTTACTCTGTGAGAATGAATTGTATGTTGCTTGGCCTGATCCTTAGTTGCTCCGTACACTATCCAGCCAAGAGCTGTCTTACATGCGAAAGGGCCGTTAGGTACTTCACTATTTATGACCTCGACTGGTTCCATGGCCCTTGGAATGTTACTTCCTATTAACAGACCAACATGCACATCTTCATCTGAGGTCGGTAGCTGGATGTCTTGAAGGTATGGCCATTTCACGAGGTCTCCTTCTCTTGGTATGTCATCTTCTGACACTGGTATCTGCTCTCGAGCATATACTTCAGGAAGGTTTATGCTGTTCTGTCCATGTAAATCAGTAATTTCCAGATTACTTATGATATGGCTTGACACCACCTTCTCATCTGTCATGGTTGACATGTGAATGTTCATCTTTTTCCCTTTAACCTTTAGGTCTCTTGCCAATTCATCCGTGCAAAATACTGCATTGCTTCCTGAATCAATCAATGCATATGTCTTCAGTTGGACCTGTGTGTCTTGTGAACGAATCAGCACTGGGACTATTCCAGGTAGTACGTCAGCTGACTCAGCTCTGGAATCAATATAACTGCACTTGATATTCCTTGCCGTTGCTTGTTGGCCATCATCTACATTTCCATCATCATTTTCATGATTGTTTATCTGTGTCACTACTGAAGGGGTGAACGATGCTTCTGCCTCTTGGGGCTGCAGTCTGACATGTTGTCTGTCAGCATTGTTGCTATCTTGACTGTTACTGTTAGAATTACCCTTCCAGTCTCTGTGTAATGCTGTCGGATGCAGTCTGTTACATTTGCTGCATTTTAATTTCCTTCTGCAATCTTTGGCAATATGCCTGGCCTTCTTTAGACAGCTGAAACATAGCCCAGTTTTCTTACAGAAGGTTATCCTGTCATCATAAGGCTGTGATGATAACACCTTACATTCCTCGATTTGGTGGCTCTCATCATTACAGAAAGTGCAGATTTCTTTTCCTCCTTCCATTATTCCAACTTTCATAGTTGTGTCATTGCTGGCTGTATGTGCAAACTCTTGACCATTGCCACTTGTCTTTGTGTCTTGTCTCATAGCCGTGTTAAGGCTGGCTTTATGTGGAGCTGCAGACTTTCCAAGCCTTCCAGGTGTTCTTCCCTGACTCTGTGACTGTGTGTATTTCAGGTCCCCGTAGGCTGGGTTTGTCATAATCCTGGTCTGTTTGGCAATGAAGGCCTGCACATCACCAAATGTAATTCTCCTTTGCCGTTCTTCTACAATGTCATCAGCTTTGTACCTCCACTTATCTCTCAACTTAAAAGGCAACCTTCCTATGACCATCTTTACATTTTGTGTGTGATTCACTTCCATTTCCATGTTCAAATCTATCGCCATGTTATGCAACTCAGTTATGAATGTGGAGTACTTGTGAAGCTCCTCTCCATCTTCTGACTTGATTTCAGGCCATTGTGAAGCTTTATTCATCATAGCTTCCATTATCTTATGTTTATCTCCAAACTTTTTCCTTAGCAGCTCCTTTGCCTTTAGGTAGCCTGCTTCACTTGGTCCATACATACAGCTCTTGACAATGGAGTTTGCTTCCCCTCTAGTGTATTGGTCCAGGTAATACAGCCGATCCGTGTTATCTGCAGTTTTGGACTCTACAGCATGCTCAAAGGACTTAATAAACGACCTGTATTCCAGTGGGTTACCACAAAATGGTTTTACCTGTGGTGATGGCAACGATGCTCTCATGTTGCACTGAACCAACATTTGCATAAGTTGGTTTTGCTGCTGCATACAAATTATCATTGGGTCTATCATATTTCCAGCAGCGGCAGATATATGGTCTGTTGTTCCATTCATACTCTCAGGACTCTCCCTTGGGGCAGCCATGTTAGGTCTATTAACTCTAGGCCTATTTCCTGATTGTGCTACATGCTGATCTTCACTCTCCAAACTTGATGCTTGGCCTTGGGGCATAAAAGGATCTTCATCTTGCAAAAGATAACTCTCTTGCCTTACATCTTCTCCATTCAACTGTGAGGGTGCATAGTATGGATCCATGTCATCTATTACTTGGTTTCGTTCTCTATTCAGAATTCAGGTGACTTCACGCACATAGTCCTTAGACCTCATCAGCAGTGAAACAGCTTGGTCTTTCAACTAATGTAGGTGCCATAATTTAGATATTGCCATCTTGTAAAATCTCTCTTGTTCTCTCATTCGTCTGACTGGCGCCTTAATATTTGAACCCGTGATCTGACTTGCTCCATACGCTTCTCAGCTCTGTCCTCTTTACTTTGCTCCCACAACACTCACATGTCGCAAAGGTCATTCACCTCGTAATAAGTTCTCACGTGTATCTCAGGTGTAAATACTAGCAAATTGTCACGGTGCATTGCACTTACTCAATACAGCTACACAGTTCAACTAAGACAGGTCAATCGATGAAAAACTGGTTATAATCTGTCTAAAACAAACTTTAATTCTGCTTTCTTCTCATCGAAACATTCTCCATGCAAACAAATGCGTTCTCTAGTGACCTATCCCATGATTCATGTCCAGTATTCAAGTAAATAGAGCACTTTCTTGACAGAAAAAGAAGGTTGAAAGACCATTTGGTTTCCCGGGTTCATATCGTCAGCCCTATCTAATTATATACAGTGTCTAAACTTCGCCACAAGGTGGCGCTCTTCACAAGTTCTGGTTTGTTTGGAAGTTACAATTATGTTGATGTTATCCTTCATGTAAGAAACTGAATCCTTATGATAATAGTACATGTAGTACTAATAAAGTAAAATAATAAAATTGAAATAAATCAATGAAAAAACCTGCCTTGAATTGATTAAACAGTGAAGAAAGAAAACAAATGTATAGAACATCTCATCAATGCATTTGCCACGACATGTCTGAGGATAATTTTTTAATGACTATTTCAGGGTCAGGCATTTCAATGATTGCGAAAATTGGTAATGTTAGGAAATATGCTGATGACATTGCAAATATGTAAATAAATATTTCAATCATAACACATCTTTATATATTTCTAATATTCATACTTGATGTGACATTAAAACTGTTTTTTGTGACTTTCTCTGTAAATGATTCTTTGTACACTCTTTGTCAAGTTTTTGAGGATGAAAAATATCATTCTTTTTCATGAAAACGTTTTAGCCTTTGTCATTGTGTGGCTCAGACTTCAGCAGATTAAACAATGTTTAGAATGATAATTGTTATCATCATCATCATTGTTCTCATCTCTTCAGGTGATTGTTCTGGTGGATACATCTGGCTCCATGGTTACCCACATGGAAGACTTGAAGAAAGACCTAGTGGCTCTTATCTGGGATCAGTTCAAGAGAGAGAATATCAGGTACGTCTTGCATGCCATGATGGAGTTGATAGCACCTAGTTTGGCCAGGAGGGATTAGACCTCCCTGCATGGTCACGAACAGGTGGTTATCTCATCAACTAGGGGGACCAATGGTCACCGATTAGGCATTGTTTGTTATTTAGAGGCCACAAGTAGCTATAAGGAGCGCAGCAAGGCTTTAAAGGAGTGGAGAGTGTGCAATGTAAAGTGCAAAATCACAACAGTGACTGGGTTAATAATATTGTTAGTTCTTTGGCCTGTTTTGTTGTAACTGGTAAAGTGCTAATTAGAAACAGTTATTGCTATTGTTATGGAAGCATAACGTGTTAACTTCTTACCCTGTAAATTCTTGCCACATTCTTATTTGGTTCTGAGTAAACTAGGAGAAATGACTGCAATCTAGATTAGTCCACACCACAGACAATCAGTCACTTAAAAATATGAGAAATGATCATTAATAATTCTAGTAGGCCAGGAGGTAGTTTAAAACATTGAGCAGCATGATAGCAAATGAAAGTATGCCACGAGCAGATATGCCCACATGCACTCATATTGCTTTACTGCCTGAAATAGTTTCCGTTAAATAATGATTGTATGGCAAAAATCAGTATTTAATTTATGCCAACTGAATCGGAATAAAGTTAGGTGATCTATATGCCCAGTTTTAATTGATTTGATATTCTTGTTGATTGTTTATTACAGCTTCAACATTGTCCGGTTCTCAGCTGACATTGAGCCCTGGAGGCCGCACATCGTTGAACCTACGGATGCAAACTGCAACGATGCAGTCAGATGGGTCTCATCCTTTGTACCAGCGGGAAACACATGCACCTTGGAAGCTCTCAGTGTAAGTACAGTCAAACCTGCTTTAGCGACCACCTGTATAGAAAGACCACCTGTCTACAGAGACCACATTTTTTTGTTTCCCTTGAAAATGGTTTCTCATTGAAACATGTACTAAAGGGACCTGTACATAAAGACCACCTGCCAATAAAGACCACTTTTCTTGTCTCCCTTGGGTGGTCTTTATATACAGGTTTCACTGTACAATGGATCGCCTCAACCCCTCGATCATTTAAGCTCATTGAATGACTCTTTAGTGTTCAGGAGCATTTACCAATTCATATACGCATTTCTTTTTTTCATGGAGGCTTGATTTCGAGGTCGACTGTCCATTCTCAAACAGTGCAGTTATTTCATTGTTTATGTTTTTCTGTTTTTTTATATTTGTATTGAGATATTGGAATCCTCAGCTTTCATCATTCTCTAGCAAGGAAATGATTTAGCAGTATGTTCTTGTTGCAAATACGTTCCCACCACCATACTCCAGTAATAATTGATTGCCGACTTTGAATTTCCTATGATGTTTTTTTTTCTTCTCATAGCAGTCTCGGACATTTGATAGTCCAAGAGCTGTTACAAGAACTCTAGTCTTATAATAGAACTAACACGAGTTGCCACTTTTGATTAAGGTATTAAGTTGTGAATCTTGTGCATGCTCTGTCATCATTAAACAAAGAATCTTGCCGAGCATCAAATCCCAAATTTTCATATTAGTTTTCAGTCTCTTAAAGCCTGTCTGTACTAGTTTGGTCGGGAGGGATTAGACCACCCAGGGTGGTCACTGACAGGTGGCTATCTCATCAACTCGGCTCTCAATTAACATAAGAAAAAGAGGATCATGGAGACCAATGGTCACCGATTAGGCATTGTTTTCTATATAGAGGGAGCAAGTAGCTACAAGTAATACAATGGGGCTTTAATATATTTCCACTTATATTAATGTTGTCGGCATTTATGATTCATATTCTTTTTTCCAGGAGGCATTCCGAGAGAAAGACGTTGATGCCATCTACCTGCTAACGGACGGCAAGCCAGACAGCAGCACCTCCAAGGTCTTCAGAGAGATCGCCCAGGTCAACACAGTGCGAGGGGTCAAGGTTCACACCATCTCATTCAACTGCAATGACGAGTGAGTATTGACATTAAACCGTGATGAATTTCCTGTTTTGTAATAATAATAATAATAATAATACAGCATTTATTATGCGCCATCGATCTAGTAAACTATTCTGAGGTGCAGAGGGATAGAATTAGAAAGAAATACATAGAGAAATGAGAAGGGGAAAAAATGCATAGGTGTACATTCAACATTTCATGCCTGCTCATTTGAAGTTTTGAAGTTTTGAAGTTACAAAGATTGTTCATGCTTGTCTCTATTAGATTTCTTTGAAGGGAATGTAGCTTTGATATCTATGAGGGGTCAGAGTTCATAGCAATCTCTGTAAATAAAGTGCTCATAATGCTATTTTTGAATTAGAGAATCAGGGGTTTTCCCTCACTGGTATAGTTGCAGAGATTTTCCTTTGCTTTGTTTTCTAGGCATTTTAGAAGAGAGGGCGGTTTCAATATGATTGATGGCGTAATTTAAAAATTACATGTACAGTCGGGGGGAAACATCAGTATAGAAAGAACAGGATTTCCACATATGTATGGTATTCATTTTCAAACTGATAATTAGATTACAAGTGAAAATCCTTCGTTTGCACCAACATTTTCAATGGTGTATAAACATGCTTTTGTGAGATCTTTTGCCACAGTTACACTGCATCCAGCATCTTCAATATTATCCTCTAACTACCTTTGTATCAAACAGGTCTGCGAACACCTTCCTGAGGCAGCTTTCTGCCATGTGTAGAGGGCGCTATCATCGTATCTTTGCCGGGATGGACGGAGACCTCGCTGTTCATCGACTCCTGGAGAGTGACTTCAAGGATACAGACGTGAGTGATTACGTTTTGAACAATGTTAAACAAAATCTTGGCAATATCTAGGAGCCCTATTCGCATGAGAGATGCTTGTTTATGCGACCTATGCAAAAAAATAGTTTCCGATTTATTGATACTGTATTACCTGATACATACTTATCAGTACATGAGACTTGCACGGTAGCATCCATACAGTGTTGTGCCTGTGTTGTTGTCTATCTGACATATCACCACAAGGTGGCGCTATTAACTGTAGACTAATGAGATATACATATCATTACGAGATTGTTTTCTTTTTTTCTGCTATACTCAGTGAAAATCTTTAGCATATCCATATATGTATGAGTTGTTTTAGCCTTTCAATCGCAACTCTTTATAAGACGGGGCTACCATCTTATAACGGTTCGTGATTTATTTAAATCAATCGCAACTTGAAATTAATCGCAACTTTTATCTCTTAAGTACAAGTTTGTGATTAGTTTCAAGTCGTGATTGATTTGAATCAATCGCAAATCTTTATAATACAGGGCTGAGATGTCATTCTTGAAACATGGAAAATTAAAAAAAAAAATTATCAATAAAGTCCAATGTAAACCCCTTTCTCAATCATGCATACTTTGTTACAGGAAAGACATTAACAATGTTACTTATATATATATAGAGAGAGAGAGAGAGAGAGAGAGAGAGAGAGAGAGAGAGAGAAGGAGAGAAAGAGAGAAAAAAAAGAAATTCATTGTATTCATTTGGTTTACTTGTGTGTTCTTGTACAGTACCCTGTGTTACCTACATTTGAGAGCGACGACCTGAGACTGCTAACGGCAGAGATTGAGCAAGCCAGGCATTTCTTAGCTCAGTCCAGGTCCTTTAGAGAGCTCTTTGGAACTACAGCAAAGCCCCATGAGAAAGGTGAGTCTCTAATGTTTCTCACTGGAAAAAAAGAATAAAAGGGAGAGAAAGATGAATCAGAAGAATAAGTTTGTTGAACATCGCTATGGAATTCCAACCTGTTATTTTCATAATAACTTGAACCACTGTAATACCAATGTTTTATAGCCTCTTTGCTCATTCTAGTACCCTTTCATGAGTTTTCATTTCTAAGGTCATTTCTGTCCTTGGTAGTAAAAACCACATTTTTTGTTTTCCTTGAGATGTGAAAAGTTTTTCTCATTGAAATGTGTATTGATGGAGCATCGATCATATACCTTAATGACTGTTCATTTGTCTCTCATGAGAAGTCTTACACATATATGTAGGTATTCGGTTTTAATGAATCAGGTGATACATTTTCCATGTAGGATTACATTGCATTGCACTAACAAGTTTTGAAATTAAAAATATCCTTGAACAAATAATCTTTTCTTTTAACTAAAGGTGTATGACAAATTACTTCTATTTCCTTTGAAGTCATCACAAACAATATTTTCTCATATTAAAATAAAAGGCGTAGACTTAAAGCCTTTTTTTCACCTTTAAAAAAAACCACACACCTTCAATATAGGTAAGCAACTACTATGGATCATGTTTTGCTCTCCTTATTTTATTACAGACAAGTCCAGATATGAAAGGATAGCCACAACTAACCAGAAGTTGCAGAAAACGTGAAGAAAATCAGAGGACCTGATCTTGTTTTGCAGTCGGGACATCTCCAATTGTACTTAAAAGTTTAAAGCCGACATGTGATCGTGATATAACTGTGATTTCCAATGTCTTATTGAATACTTGTAAACTATGGATTGAAGTGCATTATGGGCATTGCTTACCATTTGTAGCAACATTTGTTATCAGTGAATTATTATTTTTATGACAAAAATCTTCCCGTAGCCTAATGCCTAAAGGATGTACACAGCAGAGTGCAACCTTTGATATCTTTACTACCTTATGTAGTGCAAGCAAACATTCTTCACTGCAGTTTTACCACTATATATGATATTGAAAAAAAAAATGAAGGACATATTTCAGTTATTTCAGTAATTTCAGAGTGATTGTCATTGTAAAGAGGAAGGCATTGACACGTATATGTTGCAATATTGTCACTGAGAGGTGTCGATTTAAAAAAAAAATGTCAGATCACAAAATGTGATTTCAGATGTGAAAAAAGGTTACTGAATTGAATGACTGAGAGTAAGTGATTTATATATGTCAATTATTGAAACAACAACAACAAATAAAAGACTTTTAAGATTATACCCTAAAATTAAACAGATTCTATGGTTAAGATCATTGTACAAGATTTTAGAAATGCTTTCTTTTATTTTTGTCACAAAAACTCAGTAAATCAGAAATATACCAAATTAAATTCCTCTTTTCAAATAGCAGCAGTGTCTACTAAACATGTGCAGAGAAATAATATCAACGAACTGGTCATTGCTTTGAAAAGGTTATAAGCCTTAATTAGCTAGATTTAGGTAAATTTTGTCATGGGTTGGGAAATGGTGCAACAGTACGAAACCTGTCCCAATTGTAACTCGCAGTCATTGAAGTGTTAATTCTGTATTGAACATGGTATTACATTAAAGACACATATGGTAAACTGAAAAAGGAAAGGAAAGAAAGAAAAAAGGGTCTTGGAATAATCAAGTAATAAAGACTGACTGAATTAAAAATGGCTCCTCATTTGAGCATGCATAAGTTTGCTGTTATGGGGATGATGTGATGTGGGCAAGATTTCATATTAGTTGTCTTTTATGCTATAGAATAGATACAAAGTACAATCACGTCTTTACATTGGTGTCAGTTGTATCTTTTAATTAGTATTATGTAACATTTTGCTTCTTTTAAGTGTGTGATGAAACACTTCTCATGTGTTTAGTATCAATTTAGCTTGTATATAAGTCTGAATGTAAAGCAAAACATTGTAATATGTGTCTCATTAGTGCAAATATCCTTAGTAATATGACTTTGTGAAAAGATGCTGTAAATATTCTTGCTGGCTGTATTGGTAGCTATTGTAAGTAAGATTTCTTTATCAGGTATTCATGTTGGCAAATTTCCTCAGATAATTTTCCATCGTTTCCCCTAGAAGTGAATGTCCTATGTATTTTCCTATGTATAATTGATATGATAATATGTAATTCATACATGCCAACTGTTCAGATTAAAGAGGAACATTCCTCTTTTTGGGAGAAGATAATTATCATTTTAATGCAGGTGTTCCTCTTCCTGTACAAATTTGTCTGTAGTATTGAATAGGAGAGTTAGGATTGTTCCTCTTTTTTTTTTAAATAGCATAATTTGTACAGATTTCTGATTTTCAAATGTTGGCATGTATGGTAATTCATATGTTTGTATTCCCGGGTGTGTCAATACATGTATAGAGATTCTAATATGAAAATAAAAATCACCTTGAAATAGTAACGAAAATATTTAATTCTATTTGAATTGATAAATTATAGGTTAGGGACATGAATGCCATTTCATGCCAATAGATGTCATATGACGTAATGATATTGCCGTAATTGGATCTATACAGTGATATATTCTAAGTCTTTTCTGACATTTTAAACTTTATTTGATATGAAGAGAAATACTTGTTAGCAGCTAGCTCTACATCAAAGATTGCTATTGTAGGTCTCTGAAACTTTATTTCAATAAGCTTTTCTTTACTGTAAAAAAAAAAAAAAATTATCATTGACATTGTCATTTAAAGTTTGATAGAAAGAGAAGAAACACAAGAACAAATATATTTTTTGGGGTAATAAGTATCAAGTTGCTGTAATTTTATGTATACTTTTCATGGAGGTAAATGTTTTTTTAATTTTTCAAACTAATTTCAATCAACTGATGTGGAATATCCAAAAATTGAACTGAAAGTTTGGATTTTAAATATTCCAATATCAGATATTTTTGAGCAGCACTTAAAGATAAAGATATGTTTTGGCTAATTCTTATTTTGTGGAAAAAGTGATATTTCTGAGCCCAATGTTATTTAATTGTGTACTATGTATACGGTGTATTGTGTAATTTTGTCAAATTGTTTTTATTTATGATAGTTTTGATAAATGATGTTTTTTCTGCTCTCGATCAGCTCATCTACTATGTGAATAGAATTACTAGCTGAAATCCAAACTTTATATTTTTAATTTCATTCATTGTCTGGGTTGTGTAAATGGAAAGAGATTTGAGAGAGAGAGAGAGAGAGAGAGAGAGAGAGAGGGGGGGGGGGAGAGAGAGAGGGGGGGGGGGGGGGAGAGAGGGGGGGGGGGGAGTGAGAGAGAAAGAGAGAGAGAGAGAGAAGGGGAATTATACGGAGGGAAGGGCTTGTATGGGCCGAGGATTAATAGCAATTAATGAAACAATAAAATAATTCAAAAAAGGATAGATATATAAATCAAGAGAGAGAAAGAGAGAGAGATGGAGGAAATGGCTTAATAATTGTACTTATGGACTGAGGATAATACTAATTATAGCAAACAAAAACTATACAATACTCGAGAAAGGAAGAAATTAAGAGCGATCGAGAGAGAGAGAGGCCGGGTTGATACAGAGAGAATTTAAATACAAAGATAAAATGGGGAAAATACAGAAAGATAACCAAAATGTGTCTTGTATCATTTTACCGGGTCCTAGCTGCCTGGACAACCCTGGGAAATGACACAACAAACCACAAGTAGTAATATATGATTACGGTACTCATGCTCGTATCAGCTGTATTAATACTCGTATCAGCTGTATGAATACATGCATTTTCATTTACTCACGTTCATTGAACCCATTGGTGTGCCTTATACACGAAACCCTCCTACGCAGTTCAATAGCCAATCACAGACAAGATACCACCGGTATGATTGTTCAATCAATTTGCATACACAAGTACACACACACACACACACATACCGTACCAGCGTCGGCAAGATGGCGTCCTTTATCTTTGATAGTTGTTTGTACGTAGTTAAAATGGAATCCAATGACCCCCTGATCAACTGATTTTGACATCTCAGTTAAGGAGAGAAGTAAGTATTAATTGTATAGATTCTGTATTTACTATATTTTGCATGATAAATAGCTTATATTCGTCTTCATTTGAAGACATTTTGCGTAGATCCAGGGCCCCGAAAATGGGAGAACATGTCTCGACAAGTTTGGCTTTACGGCGATTTACCTGTGTGTAAAATGGAGTGATCTGAGCTGTGACCGTGTTGATGCGTTCAAATTTGAGTTTAAATTCCGCCAGAATTTGAATATTCGGTGTTCCAAATCATCGATAAATGTATACCAGACACTTCTATGGATATCAGAGATTTAAATAATGTGAATATTTAGGCTTGGTATCGTGGATAATGATCGAAAATTTGACGTCATTTTAGGCTATCTTTTGGGAGTGTTCCAAAAGTAGATTTTTGTCCAGCTGTACATGTAGTCCCACACTTGTGCATCTGTGGTGCAGGTTTGGGTGTATTGTGGTGGGCTGCAATTTTTCTGCCATTGACATCGACATGCTCAATTTTGTATTTGTGTCATTTTGTGATTTTTGTTTTGTTCACAATGGGCAGGGGCTATTTATATGAATTATGACCATGTCTTTGATGTTGTAAGCTCAAATAGAATAACAAAATCCTTTTTATCTTCCTTAGTCTAGAGTTAGTTTTATTTTTAACAAAGTGTAGCCTACCGTAGACTAATTGAACTTTTTTAAAAGTTAACTTTAACATTACAAAACAACAATATAATGACACTAGATTTAGGCTGATTGAGCAAAAAGTCCTCCTATCAGGTATTTGATCTAAGGTTGAAGATTCCAACAGGCAACACAATTTCCTTGGCAAGCGATTCCCTACATGTAATGATGTAGAGTCTAGTCTAGAAAAAAGTTGTTATTAGACGGTAGACCTAACAATTACTGTACATGTATGATGTAGCTGTAGATCTAGTAACAGTTTTCAAGCTCTACCCTCCCCCCTCGTTCCTTCTTCCTGTTTTGGTGGTTATTAATTTTAAAATGTTAAGTTGTTTGTGATTTTTTCTTCTTTAACGTTTTTACCTAAGAAAGCATCAAATTTAAGAAAAGTGCAGATTAATGAAATTAAACAATTCTGGAGTACTTATTTACCCTACCCTGAATAAATTATAACATTATGGATAGCGATCTCAAATTAAATTTTAGGTTTGAATTGGGGGGGGGGGGGGGGTTGTGTGTCCTGGCACTTATTAAAAGTACCGTAAAGCTGTCATATGTTTACTGTTGGATTTTTCTGGAAAATAAGCATCAAATAGCAGAAACCATCATAATACTAAGTACTGTATATTATTGTCCACCATAAATCTTCTGAGAAATATGAAACAGTGCTTGTAAACTTCGTCAATGCACTGTTTGAATTTGAAATCTACTGTCTGAATTTTAAGCAACCTGTCCAGAATCACAATGGGTTGATACCTACTGTATTGTAATTAATTACATGTACATTAATGATTGAATAGGCCTGTGTATTTGATATCTGATTCTAAATTAATGTAATGAAATGACTGTGTACTTTTGTTTGAGGTCTGCCGGACTTGCATACCTGGTTACCTGATCTAGCAACCAGGCATGCAGTCAGGAAGTAGATTGTATTGAAATGACTTTGTAGCTTTTTTTTTTGATGTCTGCCTGACTTGCATACCTGGGTACCTGACTTTGCAACCAGGCATGCAGTCAGGAAGTAGATTGTATTGAAATGACTTTGTAGATTTTGTTTGATGTCTGCCTTACTTGCATACCTTGTTGCCTGACATAGCAACCAGGCATGCAGTCAGGTGGTAGATAGACTTACCTTTACCTTTTATTTATGTGATGCAAAATTGCAAATGTTTTGTACTCATGCTCTAATATGTCTGGATTAACATGCCAAAAGGAAGGATAAAAGTGGGCCTCCTGTAGTGGCATCGGGCAGATAGACTAGGGCCTGTAGACTGTAGAGATGTGATGTACCTGTACAGAGTGGCAAGACTGCCATTAGACCGCCTGTTCTTTCATGTTTGATATTTGCCTGGACTTAACATAAAGCAGAATGACGAAAACTAAATGCACTTGAGCGTGCATCCTTGTTTTCTTGTTTCACTACATTAAGATGACCTGTTTTTGTAAGAATTGCAGCATTCAAATGATTTCAAATCATGTTTAAAATCCAGTCGGGAATACATTGTATATAGAAAATAGAACCTTATATAGCGCTTTGAGCATACCAGTACGTGTTTATGTAAAGGCGCTATATAAATATCAATATGTACAGTATGTATGTACAGTATACATGCAAATTGCACACTTATATTTGTAGTTTTTACTGCCCTCGAAAGCAGTGGTACATGAACATACCTGCCAAACCTCCCGAATAATCCAGAATATCCCGTTTTTCTGGATTTTTAGGACCCCAAAATGCGGGATATCCCGGATTTTTAAAATTTGTGTGTGTGTGTGTGTGTTGCTTACCGGTTAGCCAAATTAAGCTTGTGTTATCATATGCCGCGATGTGAGATCTCACGTATAGCGTGCATTGAAGGGCTGCATGATTGAGCAGCGAATTTGTATTCAATTTTTTGCACAGATTTACCACGTACATGTACATGTATTGCCAGTTACACTGCCGCTGCATGTGCGAACGCCTGTTACATGTAAGGGTACAGATTTCTTATTTTCGAAGACATACCGTGCTGAAAATTATTAATTCTCATTTTCAAATGTTGGCAGGTATGCATGTACTGTACGTGCGTACATGTACATTAACATGTATGCTATTAGAGTGTAGAACAAATCCTCTATAACTATGCAAGTTATTTTTAGTACTGTTTTAAATGTTTTAAAGGAAAACAAACAAACAAGAAGATTTTTGATATCTACAATGTAGTGTTTATTTAACAATGTATTGATGGAAAATGATATGCATGTATGTATGAAAAATATTCTTACTACCGTCTGTAAGTGTCATGTCATCTGTACAGTACATTGTGTAAGATTGTTAAGATCACAAACATTGTTTTGAACATTTATTCAAATCATTTTGGTGCATGTTGCTATCTTGACAACTCACAGTAAGTTGTGGTTTAAGTGGTTTTCCGTGGTAACCTTCTCTGAGGGAAAAGAGGAAATGGCACGAGAAAGCACTTCCTACTGTACACGTACATAGCATTGTTTGGGCATTGTTATTGTTTGAGATCAAGTGTATTTATATGAAGGAATGAACTGTCCAGAATCTACATTACCTTCTGCCTGAACTTCAGTTTTAGTGAGAAAAAACAAAATCAATGTTAGTGGGTGACAACAAAGCTTTTGCAAGAGATAGGAATGGTCTGGAGTTTCATATTGAGTTACATTGTACTTAAAAGCTATAAAGCATTAGAAATTCCATTCTACCAGAAATGGAAGATTGAAAATTGAAATGCTCTTTGTCTGTGAATTATGTCAATATTGATACTCCTAACGTTTAATTGAAATTAGTGAAGAGAAAAAATTTGAAGTGCATCCATGAATAAGTTATTCCTGTATTTATATTTTTTCTTTCATTGATTTTATTTCACAGATGATTCCCGATGCAAGGGTTAAAGGCTCTACATGCTGTAGCAGCCGAGGACCTTCAGATTTACAAGGCTAAGAACAGCCGCAAGCCAGCCCTTGACCTCAGAGGTCTTTGCCTCACACAGATCCCCGACTCCATCTGCTGTGGCATACTAACAAAGTGCCTTACATCGCTGGATGTTAGTCACAACCAGCTGACATGTCTGCCATCATGCATCAGTCGGCTAAGCTCTTTGCGAGACCTGAGGGCATCTCGCAACTTGCTCAATCAATTGCCAGAGGACTTTGGATGCCTAAGGGAACTCGCATTGATAGACCTTTCACACAACCACCTCACACATATTCCATTATGCCTGGATAATCTTGAGTGCATGCAGCATGTGAACTTATCTGGGAACAGAATCGGTGAACTGAGGGCAAGTACATTTCACTTGCCGAGGTTAAGAACGTTTCATGTAACGAGAAACCCAGTAGCAAATGTACCTCAAGATGTATATTTAGATGGATTGCCGGCAATCCGTCGCTTCTTTGATGTAAGTATTAGTGTGCCACAGCAGGTCTGTTGGAGTCGGGAGGATCCGCATTCTTCACTGTGTGAGGAAATTGCTCATCTTCAACTGAAACATGTTAATACCAGACACAAGAGTGTAGACGTTCGAGCCTGTGCTTCAAAACCTACGTACCTTGAGGATTCTCACAATGAAAGAACTAGTGCATTCAGAATAGTCAGGAATGGTGCTGCTGCTCCTCACAAACAACTCCAGCGATTAGAGTCAGATGGTCACGTCTCCACAAGTGACTACGGATCGTGTACAGGATCAATGGGTGGCAGTGCCTTCCAAGGAAAGCAGGATGATGATGCAAACAGTTGTTGTGGGGACCAGGGAAGCGATGCTGGAGATGTTCCTCATGAGAAATATGAGGAGATAGAGACTTGTGATACTTGCCATAAACCACTAACACCAGAAGTTGACTTTGAAGATGATGAAGCAGTAGACTTCATTTTGCCAAACAGATCGAGGTTTCTGAAGACTGGCCATGCTGCGGTTCTTATTCCCGAGCATAACAAATCAAACATCTTGCGAATGGATTTCTTCTTGGAATTATTAGGAGACCTTAAGTTTGTTCCAGAGTTTGGTGAGAATATGATCCACGCGAGCTCAGTTGCTTTCCTTGGCCCCCATGGGGCCTTGTTCTATGAAGACTGTCCTGCCATCATTCGGCTACCCCTCTTTGTGGATGTTGGAGTATCAAAAGTGAGGTGCTTCACGAGCAATACGGATGATATGGAAATGCCTTTTTGGATGGAGATACCTGCATGTGACTTCAGAGTATATTGTGGATATGTGTTGTTAAGAACAACTCACTTTTCCCTCTTTGCTGCCATGTTGGACAAAGTGACCCCTACTGTAACGAAAGTCATCAACAAGGATGAGGGTGGAAAGCTAGTAGTAGATCAAGTGCCTGGTGTCAAGGTTGATTTCCCAGAAGGATCCCTATTGGAAGATGTTGAAGCTTCTGTTAAGGTCTACTGCTCAGAGCTTCCTGCACATCTGAGGACAAACCTCCCAATGGGGGATGCTTTTGCATCCCCGACAGTGGTGCTCCAACCTCATGGCTACTTCTTCAAGGTGCAAAGAGACTGCAATGTTACCGTGGAGCTGCCTATCCCAAACTACAATCAGATAGTTCAGCAGTTTGGAGGAGAAGCCCAACTCTCTGTATGGCACAGCCCAACATCGGAAGAAGAGCCGGTCTCGTGGGAACCACTGAATGTCGTCTATCACATCCGTGAAGATGCCAACGCCAACCGCTTCATGGTGATTCCCGTTGAGCACTTCTCCTGGCTGACTGCCATCTGGGATGGGATCAGGAGTAAGCTGAACAACACAGGGATGTCACTGGGCTTCTACTCGGGAGGAGCTGTGAGCATGAAGTGTCAGGCGTGGATGCTGGAGAGTTCAGATACGGAGAAGTTTGGTCTGGTGGTCATCTGTCACCGAAGTGATGACAGTGCAATGCAAGATGTGGGCAACTATGCTAATAACGTGGGTGGCAGCCTCAAACCTGTTGCAATAGCACCTGGTGAGTTTTGGTGTTGGATAACATCTCCTTAGTCATTTATTAGTGATGAGTCTTTGCCGGTTTGATTGGTGTAAAATATTATGTTCAGGTGCCTTGTTGAAAAGGAATGTAATGTCATTGTAAAATTATTGAAAGGATTTATTGAATTATACCTGTTCAACATGTCACCCAGCTAGTTATTTTGTTAACTGATGATTGCATAATAATCGAACACTGTAGGAGTTATTTGGTGCTAACTATACCGGAAGATACAAGTTGAAGTTCAATTTCTTTTTAATAGGAAATTTGCGCAATAATTAAAATAGAGTGATCATCATAATTAATGCAGCAGTCAGTTTCACTTTGTTCACAATCAAATGTATCTGCATGATCAGAGCTTCATGAAGTGTTTTCCATTTTTTTTTTTTCAGGTGGAGATATTGTAGTAAAGCTGGGACGTTCAGACTACTTTGAGGCAGACACTCGAGCCAGCGAAGACCCTAGTCTGGAGAAAGTGGAGGCCAACTACAAGGGCGGGGAGTTTGAGATGCAGTTTGCATGCCGCTTCAAGGGAAGCAACAAACCCAAGGAGAAGGAGATCTTTGGCAAGGTGTTCGTGAGGCGAAGGAAAGAGGATGGCTCAGAAGAGCGTCTGTTTGAATTCAACCTTATCAAGGTAAATTATCCATCGAAAGTAACCTAATCAAAAGCAATGTAATATTTTTACCAATGATTCAGATTCAGTATCAGTATTAATGACATGAGACACTGTCTGCCATTTTGAAATTATTACCTTGTGTTTTTGGTTTTTGGTTGTATGTAAGCTTATTTTAGTAATGGTTAGTCCCAATGATTTCTATGTCCACATTGAGATTTATTAAGTAGGTTACCTGAGATGTGAAGTCTAGAAGTCCTCAATTCGTGCTGGCTGCCAAAAAAAAAAAATATTGGTATAGTTTGTGCAGTCAAAAAAGAAAGTTTGTCCTATATATTATCTTATGGTCACCTCTGATCATTAGATAATGAAATATGTTTTTTTACCCTGATTGAATGAATGACAATAATTGTTTTATTTATGTTAGTAGGACGATTCAGTGATGAATTTGCACAGGGGTCTGAAGTATTGGCTATTTTTGAGAGCCATACCTTGTTCTGGGCCTGTTGTCGCATCTACCTGCGTGTGGCGGGTAGCGACTCCGGGCTACAGGACAGGTGAAACCAAATGCATTCTGAGAATGAAACGCCTACCGAGGGAAGGGGGGAGGGTGGTTCTGCACCCATCTTACTATTAGTGGCAAATGGGAAAAGAATGAAAATTTCTCTCAATTTCTTCTTTTCCAAGTGAAAAACAATCCATCAGTCAGATAGAAATATACAAGTGCCTTTAATACATGCATGTACCTTACTTTGTGGACATTTAGAAGTAACTTGTATCGGAATTTCAACCGTTATAAATCTATTGATAATACTTCTTTATGGTTTAATAGAGCAATGAGTTTTGTTATGACTGAAATAGAAATTGGGCTTGGTAGCACTTACTTACCACTTGTATTTTGGATTATAATTCTCCTTCATGTTTTGATTTGTAGAAGAGTGATGAGCCCGATGATGCTCCGGAGGATCCGTGGACCACAGCATCCCTCAAAGACCTGGCAGGTAAGAATCCTTTATACAGTCAGGGGCCCTGTTTCATAAAGATTCAAAGTCGAACTTAACTCTAAGTTGGACTTAAATATTATGGAGAGCCATTAGCATGTTCGAAAATATTTTTTAAAAGTTATTCTAAAAGGCATATAATGTTGATTCAAATCATTCATATTTTCTATTATCATTGGAGATTTCTTGTTTTTGATTTGGAGTTTATGAAAAGTCTAAAATACTTGATTTTTCTCTTTTTAATATATTTTATTCTAAGGCTACAAATGGCTCTCCATAATTTTTAAGTCCAACTTAGAGATAAGTTCAACTTTGGATCTTTGTGAAACACCCCCCTGTACTACACATGCTCTGCAGGCAATTTACCTAACCTTAACCATGATTCTAAGCCGAACCTAAAATCCATTTGCAACTCTAATCTTGATCCATATTTTGAAAGTCATTAAAAGAATAACATTGTTTTAATAGTTTGGTTACATAATGACACTGGGGCCCATTCCTAGAAACCGTCATACTGTAAGTCTAACTTCTTGACTACCCCATTGAAACGTGTGTAATAGAATTAAAACATGTTTCAATGGGATAGTCAAGAAGTTAGACTTATGACGGTTTCTAGGAATGGGCCCCTGACTATTAAAGAGAAATAAAAATTCATGAGGCTCAAACGGTGTATTTCATTGTGTTTTGATTGGGTGCGTAACTGCCTGTAATAGTTTGTAGTAGGTTTACATAAAGAGATTAAGGGGGAGATATAACTATAATATGAATTGGTTTTGTTTGATTACTCAGAAAATATCTGAGTTCGCTTATTGCCATGTCATCTTCCTGAAACATACGATTAATTCAGAGCACAAAATCTCCTCTTCCTTTGCTATTAAAGACATGCATAACATCACCGTTGAGGACAACTGGAAGCAGTTTGCCCGTGCCCTTGGCTTCAGCTTCCAGGACATACGCACCAAGCTAGGTCGGGCTGCGGACCCCTTCTCGGAGATCGTCTCCATGTACCGAAGAAAAGGAGGAGAGTACAACGAGTTCATGGTCACGCTGAGCCAAGTCGGCCGTAAGCTTCGGCTGAACGACACCTCATCGGAGGAATCGGCAGCACCAAACACGGGAGGGGCGCAGAACTGGAAACAGATGCTCAGTCTTAGGGGTTGGTTCGGAGGAGGCGGAGGCAATGTCAGTCCATCGCAGTCAGGATCGCACTCCTCCTCACCACCGAGTGTACATGAGGATGATGAAAATCAACGTGAGTAGTGTTGCAAATTAGGATTTAAAATTGAACTTGTAGAATCAAGGAAGTTTTGCCTTTGTTTAGAAAATATTTTTGAAGGATTTGCCTGAAAAAGTCACAGGTATGGTGATTAATGAAGGATATTGAGATATAATCTTCACGTTGAAGACATTTTTGAAAATGCAAAAAATCTTAAAATCTTGCATGAAAAAAACACTTTGATATATTATACAAGTCAGAAATAGAACAGATGAAAACTGCAACCATTTACACAATTTGGAATCAATTGGAATTATCACATTTTGAAATTATAAGTAATTGCCATTTTGAAATATTACATTGTTCTAGTTTTATTTCAAAAGATTTATAAAAATGTAGATAGGATGAACACCATACTTTTCAAGCATCAGTTGGCCTTTAGTCACATCACAATAAAGATATATTCCTTTCCCTGATATTGATAGCAAATTCTGTCTAAGCATTTACATTTAAAGTACGGTAATGTAGTAGTAAGAAAGGCCAGTTCTGTAAATTGAAACCGGTTATCTGCATCATGAAGTTTATTCTAATTAAATATATTTTTTGCTAGCTTTAGCAATAAATAAGTAATTCATATTTGAAGTATGTCTCTTGAAAATCTATTTAGCGTTCATAAATTTGATTACACATCTGTTCCTTATCAATCAGCTGGTCCTAGTGGTCTGCAGCAGAATATGAGGCGAAAACGTCAGTGTCCTACCTGTGAGGCAGAGCCTATCATTCCATCGACACCGCACCGCTACGCCAAGCGTCTTCGCCTCTCCCCTACCACTTCTGAGTCTTCAGGGGGTAGCGATGACCCCATGCACACCCTGCGTTTCAACCCAGACCAGTCCCCTCCCCGCACCCCGGGAGAAGCAGGAACGTTCTGCAGTCTCCCCACCACATCCCGGTACTCCCCACCCCACATCAGCCTCACCCATAACCCGTCCGGCGTCAACCTGGTGTCCAGCCACAACAATAATCCCGTCTTGACCCCAGGTGTTGGCATGTCGGGTATGTCCAGCATCTACGGGCCCAGCACGTCTCAACTTACCTCAGGCAACCCCCACATGTACAACAACACCCCATACACGGCAGTCCATTATGGCAGTATTCCTAATACAGCACAACAGGTGAGGAAAAAAAGAAGAAAGTTTGTCTTTTATATTATCGCGCTGTCGAAGGTCCATCTAGTTTAGATTTATGTTTGTAGGACGATTCAGTGATGAATTTGCACAGGGGTCTGAAGTATTGGCTATTTTTGAGAGCCATACCTAGTTCTGGGCCTGATGTCACATCTACCTGCGTGTGGCAGGTGGTGACTCTGGGCTACAGGACAGGTGAAACCAAATGTATTCTGAGAATGAAACGCCTATAGAGGGAAGGGGGGTGGGGGAGAGAGGTTCTGCACCCATCTTACCATTAGTGGCAAAATATTACTTATAGACGTTTTGTTTGAGTATGCTATGAACAATTTTATAAGTCCCCATGATCTGTTACTTCTGTACTGCTATATGTGTGTGCATAGTTCAACTCCTGCACCAACTGTATTTTTAAAAAAATTAATATTTTTGTATTTTTTAAAACCAACTGTATGTTTTAAATGGATGTCAAAGATTTGTCACTCTCTAGCCTGTGTAGACTGAATACAGAGGGCTATGCCTTGGACCATATTCTCCTGGTGATATTTCTAAGCACCAGAAAAATAGCAAATTGAAGTGCGATACCAGACTAATGTTTATCCTGTAGTAAGAGCTGAGATGGAGTGTAATATGAGCGTCCTCTATTTCTATTTCACAGGCTATGCCCAACTCCTTGAGTGACCAGGAGAACCTCCTGCGCGCCAACCCTCAAGAGATCAGCCAGAACAACCTCTACCACATCGCTTCCACGATACAGAACAACTGGGTGAAGGTGGCCCGCTTCATCCGCGACGACGAGACTCTGGAGACGGACATCAAATCCATCAAGGAGAATCACTCCAGTCCCGAGGAGCAGGCCACTCAGATGCTCCTTCAATGGAGGGAGAAGTGTCCAGACCGATGCAGTAGGGGGATCCTCTACGGAGCACTCTGTGACCTAAATCTCAAGTCTGTCGCCAAGAAGTGTGAGCTCATCTACAAGAAATCCAGATGATAGAAAGCTTTCATTGTTCAGTTGGTCATTAAAAGTGCCCTTGTGTGCCTAACTGGTCCTATGTTATGATTGACAAGCATTACAGAGTGGCCAGTATCGTCATAGTGCTCTTCTGTAATCATCCTCTGTGCAACGACTGGTTGCAGATCCTCAAGAATGTATGGTGTTCGTCATCTCTTTATCCCATTTATTATGTCGTGAATCGCACTGCTTCAGAGCTTTACTGCATTGCTCTATAAATGCCTTGGAAGCGTGCTTTAAAGAACATATATGCAGTGAGTTGCATAGTGAAATTTACTTTCTTGAAGTAGATTAATGCCGTATGCAAAACTGCCAAACTTGATGATGGTGTATCACGTGTAGTGTTGCATGTCAAATGTAGAGATGAAGACCAAATATGAGTGCTGGTCACTTATTCTTGTTCTTCATCGTTAGAAAGTTGGAAATGCTGCAGTGATAAAAGAATAGAAACATTATTGCCTTAAAGGTAATACAAAGTGTTGGTATGGATAAATTTTTATATTCAATTTTTTTTAAAAGCAGAATTTTTGTATGGGCTAAATTTTCTAGTGCTTATATTACATCCACAGGGGCATCCAAATCTATCCAAATTGAAAAGAATCACCACCATCCAATTTTCAAAAATTCCCAAAACTTTGTATTACCTTTAAGACATGCATATGCTGGAGCTGGGTGTTCTGCTTTGAAATGTATGTTGGTAGGAAGTGCGTTGGCAGTGACATTGCCTCAAACCCTCATTCATTCCATGATGTCACTGCCTCGCGATGAGTTTTCGTTAAATACAATCCCGAGCCAGATGCTGATGCTGAAGCTCTTTTGATAACTTCCCTAATAAGATAGCATTTTCCCTTGACAGACCAATAAATTTTAAGGTCAAAACAATGTATTTTATGGTATTTATTACATCTTTTTTTCAAAAGTTGTAATTATCATCTCTTTCTCTGCCCCCGTTATGTTTCACATGGATCATGACTAGAAAATAGCTTTGCATGTTCTTTGAAAGTTTTGTATTTCCTTTTTTTTTCTACTTGGGCCAAACGGAAAAGTGCAATAACAGGATACTCTTTGTGACATAACGTTGTGTTAGTTTGTAACAATTTTTTCTCACTTTGATTGCTCTTTTTAATTCATCGTTCTTTTTATATGTCCCCTTGCTTGCAAACATTTTTCTCCCCCCCCCCCCTCGATAAAATGGAGAACTTTACACTTTGGTTGGACCTTCAGTATTAATTCCAGTACACTTGGAATACACAGGCACCAATTGTTTGCCATAGTTTGTTTCAAACACCTAATTTGCTGGTATGGGTTAATGGAGTTATGACACCAAAGGTAGCCTTCAGGTATAGATAAACTATTTCAAATTGTAAGAATAAGTTTTAAAATAGAACTATTGCATTGGGGCTGGACAGGTGAACAAACCTACAATATTCCGGACAGGATCCCTGTAGATACATTGTAAGCAATCTTTGATTGGAGTAAGCATGAGTGGAAGTAAATTCAACAATTGCATAAAGAAATAAGTATTGATTCAAATGATGATTTTATTTTTCATGCAAAACACAATACAATGAATAAGTATATTACAAACAAAATATACAATGAAACGACAAATATGGTTGTAAAAGCACGGGAAAAGAGGAACCAACTAGAAGCATACCAGTAGCTTGTTGAAGTATTTATTCCTCAGAGGCTGTTTTACGAACCGTCTTGAAAACAAAGTATACATAGAAAATTATGGGCCGATTTGGACTGCCAGTTATAATAAATTGTGACACCAAAACTGCCTCAAGTACCAATTGGTATGAAGATGTTGCTTTAAAAAGAATTGAGAGTAGTACTTCTATTAGCAGTTAAAACATATTAGAAATTTCGGATGTCTGATGACTAGTGGTGATCAATGTGATCACTGTTCTGAAATATGTTTTTTTTTTCTCCCTTCAATAACTCACTACTCAGGTATACCCACCTATAGTACATGTATTTTTCTTCTTTTTTCTCGTTGTACTGTACAATCGAATCGAATCTTAAAGCTAAACAATTTTTTTTTTTTTTGGGGGGGGGGGGGGGGGAGGAGGGTATAGGATTTGCATTTTCCTTTTCCTTGCGTCATCTCCACTGAAACTTAGTGAAGTGCTGCAAGTAAATTGCATCATGATACTGTCTGCAAAGTATTTTATATAGTGTTTTGTGTGAGATGTTTGTTTTCATTACTCAGCCATATCATGATGTTTATCCTGATTTATGATCTTTAATCTGTGTGCAAACACATACATTATGCACAAATTTGTAAGATCAAGCCTTTTCTTCTTCTTATACCGTCTTCAACCATGAGTCATTCCATTCTTTAATTCAGTAGCATTTAGTTTGCATATGGTAAACAGCTATTTATTTTGTAATAACTTACCCTTCAATTCATTTGTATTCTTGGTCCCTACGCTATTCATGCTATGTTTTATTATTCTATTCTTATGTTTCGTAACCTGGCCTGGTAGTCGGATGTTTTCATTTTGATCCCTGGGCTATCCCAACCTTTGATCTAAATTATGAATCGAATTGTCACCTTGCTTCCTTGATAAGTGGTGAGACTTCTTAGAGTCTAAAATTTCATTGCCTTTGGCATTTCTAAGATTTATCCTTCTGTGAAATTTACAGTTTGACTGTCTTTAAAACAATCATTTAAAACAATTTCCTTTAATCTACTAGTATTTCAAGCTAGCAAATAATATCCATAAAAAATTTAATAATCAAATCTAAATCTGAAATAAATTGATGTAATAGTTCCCTATCGTGAAAAAAACAAACTTCTCCATACTTCATGTATGTAAAGGAGAAGGAATTACGATGTCTTTTTAGTGTCCCATCATAATTATAAATGTGTGAGTTGATGGTTTTTATCTGCCTAGTCTCATTCCAAACTGTATATAGTTAATGTAAATTATTGAGAGTTATTCTAAAGCTTATGTACATTCAGAGTATCAAATATAATGTACTTTTTTGTAAAATGTGAAAGTACTTTTTCTTTTGTAAAAGTGTTTTTGTATAATATGAAATATTTTCAATAATAGAGTTCCAATGGAAACATTGACATGCTTTGGTTTTGACTACCTTTATTTCTACTGTTCATTTTGAATTCAGAGCCTTAATAGATGATTTACATCATCATTCCCTCCAAATCAAGTAGAAGAGGTGTCGTGGTCGAGTGGATACGTCACTGGACTGTCGATCGCAAGGTCCGCGGTTCGAGTCCCGCCGCGGCACTAATGTCCTTTGGCAAGACATTGATCTACATTTGCCACACTCAACCCAGGTGATGTAAATGGGTACCTGGCAGGAATTAATTCCTTGAAATGCTGGAGCGCTGTATAAACGGCTGCTAGGCTAAAGCCAGGGTAATAATAAATGTGCCTCGGAATAGAATTATCTAGATAGATGGCGCTATAGAAATGCCTATTATTATTAATGTAAAGTTTCTTATCAATCCTGTAAAAATAGTATACATGTTAAATATAATAGCTTTTTCATTTTTTTAAAAGTGTAATTTAAACAGGAAAGGTGAGTCTGAGGCGGAACAACCTGAAGGGAGATGGCTCTTCCTATGAGAGAGACTAGATACAGATATGTGTGAGAGGAAGAGGATGGGAGAGAGGTAGAAAAGAGCGATTAAAGGTAAAGACCAGTTATGGTCGTGCGATTGCATTGTGAAAGAAACGTTGTGGAATCGATCAGAAAAGGTTGATCATCTAGCATCTAGTATCTGCAAGGTCCTGGAATCATCAAAATGATAAGAAATTTGGCCCATTCTTCGTAAAGTTACAAGCACTATACACAGAGAGATGTATATGGGACTACCCTATATCTCTCACAGATCATGAGAGAAACAAATTTACCAAATATATGAATTAGTAGGCGGTTTCCCGGCAAATTTTGTATCATCAGGTATTGGTCAAAACATATTCTTTCACATGATTGGTAATGAGAGCTTCCATTTCATTTTTTGAAATTGGGGCGTTTCCAATACTGGTCTTTACCTTTAAATGTATTTGTCATGCGCTATATAAACGTTCAATAATGCTCAATAATATTGTCCCCTCAGTTGATAACTGTTAGACTACAGAGGGCGGAATTCAGTCACAGATGGTTGACAAACTACACATGTATATAGTGTATCAATAATTTTTAAAAAATATACATTAAACAAAAAATTGCTTCCGCTTTCAAAGCCCGTCTCTACTAGTTTGGCCAGGAAGGACTAGACCACCCTGCTGGTCACTGACGGATGGTTATCTCATCAACTCAGCTCTCAATTAACATAAGAAAAAGAGGATCATGGGGGAACAACAGGCTTAGGCATTGTTTTCTATATAGAGGGAGCAAGTACCTACAAGTTGTGAAGTGGGGCTTTAAAGACCGTCACCACTACTGGGCAAGAAGGGATTAGACCACACAGCGAGCCAGCGAGGTCAATGTGACAGGTGGCTATCTCATTAACTCGCTCTCAATTAACATAAGAAAAAGAGGATCATGGGGGACCAACGGGCACTGCTAAGGCATTGTTTTCTATATAGAGGGAGCAAGTACCTACAAGTAGTGAAGTGGGGCTTTAGATAGTACTATTTTTTCTTCTTTAGAAGCAGGAATGACAGAGGCATATAAGGCCTACCATATTTACTCCCCAAATGAATATGTCTCATTGACATATCTTGGGAACATAGTGGTGTTCAGTTTTTCACTCTGACATTAGAGGGCGGTAATCAAGATTTGCTGACAAAGCAGAGCAACTGCGCAAACTACTCAAAACTAACATTTTTATGGAAAACACAACCATATGTTGACTTCATATATCTTGGAAATATGTGAGGGAATTCTTGCTTCAGTTATACATTCATAGAGCCTATAAGAACAATTCTAAAGAAGGAATTACGCACATATGTCACCTTGCACTGCCTGGAGAGGAACTAAAAGAAATTAAGTAAATTTATTTTTGCAGACCCTTACAAAAAAACCTAATGGTAAATGAATGGTGTTTGAATGGTAGGATCAATGGTAAATGGTATTTCAATGGTGTGCCAATGGTGGATTCTGTATGGTGAATGGTGTTTCAATGGTGGTGTATGACGATGAATGGTGTTTCAATGGTAGAGTCTGTATGGTAAATGGTGTTTCAATGGTGGAATTGTATGGTGAATGGTGTTTCAATGGTGGCGTCTGTATGGTGAATGGTGTTTCAATGGTAGAGTCTGTATGGTCAATGGTGTTTCATTGGTGGAATTGTATGGTGAATGGTGATTCAATGGTGGAATTGTATGGTCAATGGTGTTTCAATGGTGGAATTGTATGGTGAATGGTGTTTCAATGGTGGAATTGTATGGTGAATGGTGTTTCAATGGTGGAATTGTATGGTCAATGGTGTGCAAGTGGTGGAATTGTATGGTCAATGGTGTTTCAATGGTAGAGTCTGTATGGTGAATGGTGATTCAATGGTGGAATTGTATGGTCAATGGTGTTTCAATGGTGGAATTGTATGGTGAATGGTGTTTCAATGGTGGAATTGTATGGTGAATGGTGTTTCAATGGTGGAATTGTATGGTCAATGGTGTTTCAATGGTAGAGTCTGTATGGTGAATGGCGATTCAATGATGGAATTGTATGGTCAATGGTGTGCCAATGGTGGAATTGTATGGTCAATGGTGTTTCAATGGTGGAATTGTATGGTCAAAACTAGGTGTCCCTTATACTTTGAACTACAATTTGCTCTGTGATTTCGCTTTATTTTTCGCGAATTTTTCTTCATGATTAACGTTTCAAAGCTGACAAACTGCAAGGAATAATACCCTAGTCCTCTGGAACAAGGATGGATCTTTAGTTTTTTCTTCAATTTGGAGCAATTTTGGATCTGATATGTGTCTCTTTGCCGTGAGTAACTGCTGTTTTGTGCCTGTGGTCCCACTCATATGACTCTGTGATGTACATTATTATACATTTGCTTACATGAACATCTGTTATTGTTAATTAAAGCAGCTTATAAATCATTCTATTTTATTACAAAAAATTAAAATATTACAGTATTAGGGGCACACCTTTAGAACTTTTATCAAGTTATTTATCTGATCGTAAACAATTAACAATCATTAATGAAGCTGCATTGTACGGAACTAGTGCTAATATCAGGCCACCTTTGTCAGGGTAATTCCACCTTGCGCCTAGTGGAGCCTAGTCCCATTACAAGCATTTTGTGTTCACTGGTTTGTCATCATCATGGTTCTTAGCTGTTTTTAAAATCGATGATTAGTTTTGGCACTAAATACCTATGACATTTTTTAGGAATAATGTTGAGCTTATATTACCAAAATTTGAAAAATATTAAACGTTTGATTAATCAAACTAAAAGGGTGTGAATTGAAGTAGCATATTTGTAGGCTAAACCAAAATTTATCTCATGACGAATGAGTATAATCTACTCATCGTTCATTCAATTCTAGTCCATATTGGTAATGGAGATCCTAAATAATCTTTCAGCCTATATAAACTAAATCTAACGAGAAGAAAAGATGATTAATGAAGAGAAATCAATAACTGACACAGTCATCACAATATGCGTGCATACAAAATTTGGTTCAGCCTCCTAAAATTAGAATTTTTGTAAAATATCATTGTAGCTGGATAAATCAATGTTGAATATTTTTACCATTTTTTTCTCATACAAAGATGGTAACATTTCCTAACATCTAATAATTATTGAGTCAAATCAACCTAATCTATTTAAAAAACAATTATTACAAACCATGATGACTATAAACCAGTAAACATTCACAAAATACCCTAATTGGAATAGGCTCTACTAGGCACAACGTCAAACAACACTTGGAGATAACCTTGACAAAGGCTTCTTGCTAGCCCAAGTATAATGCAATCAGAAGTGTAGCTGCTTTTTCATTAGATGTTTCTGTTGCATATTGGAAGCTAGTATTATATGAGTATTTTTCCAAGAGTAAACAGTCATAACTAGCTCTCCAGGTTGGGTGGAAAATTACAAGCAAATTGTAGATCTAGCTCTGTCAAAAAAAGAATAACGAATCTTTAACAGATTTTATGCTTCCACAACGAAGTGGCAAGTCCCTTTAAAAAGGCTGAAATATAATTTCTTTGGGTTATACTTACATACAAAATTTTACATTTGGATTTTGTAACATTGCTAAGGAAAGTCTGAATAATATTATGTTTGAATAGTGTACTATGTTCCAAATGATTGCCTTATTGATGTTCAAGTAAACCCCAAAGTAATGATACTTATATTGATGAAGCAATAGTCTACACACAGATGTTTAACTCAGCCAAATTACCTGTACACTAACTGCCACTTCTAAATTTTCCATTCTTTGGTGTTTCTTAAAATTTTGTTAGAACTCTGAATGAGCACCTGTCATGAGCGACTTGACATGTCTGGGGATGTTTTACTGTGGAAATGCTGACATCTATCTGGTCCCTTGTTTCAATCGAATTGGTCACTGTTTTTGGTGAAGTCAGTAAACAACATTCACAGATTGATCTTAAAATCATCTTTTCTTGCCTCTTGTTGCCAGCTAGTATGAAAGCAGTATTAATATATGTCTCCACATCTTGCCATGGTACAGTTAAAGGGATGGTTGAGTTCTGTTGCAGAGGGCGCTACACAAAATAATTTCTTTGTGAGATAATGGAAAACTGAGTGTCAAATTAGAAGAAAAAAATACTATTCAAATGACAAAAATTCATCTTTGTTTGAACAAAATCGGTTCAGAGATGGCTGAAATATCCATAAATATAACGATTTCTAATACTTCTGTACCACCGCAAATATTAGATAATTTAGCGCCATTTACGTTGTATTTCAGCCAATGCCGATGTTGGCTTTTTTGTAGGCATTTTCGTGTTGGTTTGGTACGCACAACCAGCCGGCCCATGTATTGTTATTTTTAATTAAATAATTAATTAACGGTCACCATATTTTTGTTAAAGTGGAGCTGAATTGGTATGATCGTATTGGCTAAATTTCACACATTTTGGGGTCTAAAATTACCTTCATAGCAAATTTAGGTTCTAATAGGG